GATATTAAAATCAGAAGCATGTTTTAAACCCTAATTAATGCTGTGATGTGGAATATACAAATTATCTTTCAGTCATTGCTATAAAATTACTTCAGAATATGAGCATAAAATGGACTGGATACCTGTTATCAAGTTTTATGACCAAATATTCCTGTAATTGTAACCCACTTTCCAGACCAGACGGATTGATTGACTAATGATAATCTCTTGCGAATGAGCTATTTTGGTTGCTTAAAAGCGCTGCTATAGCATAAACTGCTTTCCTAAAGCATGCTTTTAACGGGGTGTCAGCGTCTCAATTAATTTCCGCTTGGCAGTTAAGAGTTATTATAGCACTGTCTGAACTTTATGCGAGGGAAATTATTCTTAAGATGTATCGCTTCCTGAACTGAAAATGACTGGTGAGCAGACTAATTCTTGTTGAAATTTATAGTTACCATAGAAATATGTCGCATGGCAACAGATTTATCCTCATACATGTATAACTTAAAAGTTGTTGTGGCCGCGTGAGCTTAATGCATTAAATGAACAACAACGCCATTGCAAATACTGTTTAAAAAACATCTAATATGTTTCGTATACACATAAGGGAGAATGTGGTCAATTCTTCAATAAAGGGGATTTTATTTAATCGTAACTTGTTAGGTAATCTAGTCCATTTTCATTCTGTGGAATTTTTATTATTAGATATACGCGGAGAGAATGATGTTGCAGTTAAAATGTTAGTGTCAGTCCCTCTTTTTCCAAAATCTGTACAGACGCCAAGATTGCAAAAAGAGACTTCTAACACTTTTAGTGTTTTCGAGTAGTAGAAGGAAAGGAGAAACATTTTGCAATGCGTAAGTTGTTTTCATTTAAATTCCAATATAGCCACCCATAAGCAACATACTAATACGCCAATAAAGTTTTACGGTGTTAGAAACACATGAGGAAAGAAGCAGAGGCAGAAAAGCGGAATTTGGACGAAAAAATACGTATGTGTTTACAGTTATTTTTGAATATTTCACGCAGGCATGAGGTTTCAAACCACTAGCTTTTAAAATTAAAATATGAAAACTTATTAGACAGCATTTTAGAAAACATAACTGCAAATAAGTAGAGAGAAGAGAAAGCTGATTGAAGGAATGCGTTTGATTTGTACTTACTTCCTACCAGACTGACGAAGGATTTCCGTAACCCTCATTGCGCGGTTTGCAAAATCGTTAGAAATCACAGAAAGGTTTAAGATTAAGTCGTGAAACATTATTAGATTTGCTTTTGTCTTTTTTGCTTTAATCATACATGATATGACCGATATCAAGCATGTATAATACATTGTGTTGGGATTCGAAAAAGAAAAATTAAAAAATCTTGTGGTCTTCTTATGGAATAAAAAACTATTCTGCAACACATACGAAAGTAAATTGATTTGGATCGATGAAGGATCTGACTTGGCCAAATGTATAACAAATTGTTTCGAGTTTTGAAAAAAAAAATTAAATTTAAGGCCTTTTTTAGGAAAATAATTCTATGAAACATACACACACTTACATATGCTTGTGTTTATATTTGGATTAAGATTGTTGTTATGTATTAATGAAGAATTTGACTTGACCAAACAAAAAGGTGAGTTGGCCTAAAAATGAAATAAAATCTGTAAGCAGTAGGAAAATGCCTAATAAAAATTTGAAATAAGTTCTCGAAGCCCAATTTAAACGTATTCTAAAAGAATGTTAGGAATTGCGAAAGAAATTTGGCAGCAAATCGAAACAGCCAATTATGTAAAAAGATATAATTATATTTATTAACTACCAAACCATCTGCGACAATTTAATTAACCTTGAATATTGTTGTTATTTTATAAATAGCACTTACTAATTTAAGAAATATTTTAGAGTACTACTGAGATGAATGTTGAACATTTTGGAACCGGAAACTAGTTCTTAAAATTCTTTAAAACAATATTCACAGTAAAAAATATAAGTGTGTTAAATAAAAAGATGAAATTTTGTAAGATCTTAAATTAATTTAGAACACATTGTTTAAGAACAGCAGGAAAAACATTCCTATTAGAGTTTAAAAAAAGGCATCATTTTCAGTTGAATGCAACATTACCTGCGAAACGTTAGTTCGAAATAAAAACTAAAGAATAAAAAATGCTCTGAAAATTCCGTTAAATATTGATATAAACCTTGAAAACGAAATGCACTATAGAAAAGGCCATAAAGTGCTTCCTTGCTACAGGTCGCACCTCAATAAAACGGTATATAAAATGTTATTTATAGGAAGTCGGAAACATCTACTATTTTCTCCCTGTGATCACCAAAACTCAGAAACGTCCTTTGTTTTCCTTTGCCTTTATTTTAATATTACGGATGTGCTTATGGTTCTTTTCTTTAATACATGCTGCCTCGCTATGAGAAGGAAATACTTTCTTGATTTTGCCTTTAAGATGGATGTGTATAGTAACTCGAATTAAGCAGCATGATGACGGTAATATTTATGATGATGATAATGATAATGGGACCTGTGTGGTCTTAATAATAACAATAATAATAATAATAATAATACCACTCTTTTTAAGAGTTGTAAGAATAATGCATTGCAAAATCTATACTGTTTATTTTTTTAGTTCAAATCGAAGCAAAAATAGTCTGATATAAAATAAGGGAGAAGACAGAAATTTAACAAATATGCATAAAATAACTTTCACGATGTTAGATTTTTATACTCTTAATAGCTGAAGATGACGTCTTAGCACTAGTGCTTATGGGCGTAAGTGTAATGCTGCAGCAGCAGAAGCCAGAGACGCATTAAAGTGGTATTCGCCCTCTCAACCCTTCCGATGTTGTGCTGCGTGCGTATTTGAATCTATGGTACTTCAGTGCTCTCGATACATAGAATATGGGTTCCTGTACCGACCCACCAGCGCTTCTGTACTGTCCTTGTATTATGTCAGCTGTTATCCGGCAACACGCAATGATCACAGAATGATCATTGTTTTCATGATTGCCTAAGTGTTCAAGTAGAAGAAGAGAAGTTCCTGTTATAGTTCAAGAGCCGACGACTGTAGTACGTTTTTGTTCAACATTAAGAGAATTTCCATGTTTGATCAATTCTCTCCAGAACTTGTGACTAAATTTTACTCATATTTAATACAGACTTTTAATGATGCGATTTAAAATATATATGTTACCATAGCCGTAGTTCATCTGACTGATCGACGCAGAAAGATCTAAAACGATGGATGCAAGATAGAAGAAAAAGGAAATTAATGTTGTTTCCTCTAACAGTCATATAGCTTCACAACATATAGCTTTGAGTTCCCATTGGAAGTGAGGTACTCTATATCCTTGTGGCAGTCGATCCCACTCTTGCAGCAGCATTGTTTCAAATTTTTGGGGCTTTGGAAGGGAAAATGTGTGTTGCAGTTGCTCTCTCAAGAGTAAATTTAATTTTCATTTTTTAGATCCAGATTTTTTAGACTAAGTTTGCTCTTGTTTCCGAATTCTGGTTATCATCCTAAATAATACTGAGAATTTTTTCTCTGCTTGTCGAAAAAACGTACACTAAATTTTAACTTCTTTTTCTTTGTAAAAATAAATTGTCTTTTTTTTATGGCAATGAATTTCTTTATTTGAATTTTATTTTCAGAAAATTAGTACTCTGCTTCATAAATTACTTCAGATTATACTCCTTGATCCACCTCGGCTAACTGATAGTTAAGTTAATTATTGCAAAAAGTTATCAGTGTTTTGTATGTTCGTAATTTTGCAGAGAAAGACTCAGAAAATACTGTGAGAGACACGTGAAAATGTTAATAAACAGCATAAAAGTACTCTGTAAAGTTTCTGAAATATTGTTTGCATGATGTGGATATGTGCATTATTATTGAGGTATAATATTGTTCATATTTAATGACAAATTTAAGCTATTTCTACTTAATTCATCATATATTACTTGAAATTTTATGCGATATTTCGAAACATTTGATTCCGATTTGCATTAATCTACAATACTTTAATTATGGGACATCAGATATCATAGTTGAAGAAAGCTGTGATCTGTTTTCAGATTGGCAAAAAAAAAAAGTAATTTTGGTATTTTAGTGTGAAATAAAAGTAACTTTTTTCTATACAAAAAATGAATCTTAATCAGACAAACATTTTCCATTCTATTCGATGACATTTTTCTATCTTTCTGGTAACTTCATGACTTGATTATACTATGTTGTAATACTATGGTGTAAGGTGTTGTAATACTATGGTGTAATACTATGGTGTAAGGTTGATAATACTATGGTGTAAGGTCGGGCTATATATTATGTGACATCACTTTCAAGCTCCAATAATTTCGTACATGTTGCTAAAGCTGTGTGTGGCCTGAAACTGTCGTAATGGAATACGATTCTTTTGCGATTTGCCAATTCTGGCCTTATCTCTTTGATTTCTTCCTCCAATTTCTAGTTGATCTTCAATTGTTGTGGGTAATACATTTAACACTTTTGCATGCTCTTGCACAGTTATTTGACGACTCGATTCAATTATGGTTTAAATCATCAACTGAAAAGGGTCGACCAGGACGTTGGTCATTTTCAAGTGAAAAATCTTTAGAACGAAATTTTTTTTAAACCATTTCAGACACATGTGTCTTGTTATGGAATCAATGCTATAAATTTCACATATTTATTTGTGAGCCTCAGCCGCTTTCTTAGCTTTATGAAAAAAAGTAAAATATGTCGGAAATATTTATTTTTGCACGCCCTGTTAAAACTGACCATAAACTAACAGTTGTAAACAGAAATACACAGAATTTAGTTTTAAAACAACCTAAAAGAGTCAGCTGCCAAATCTTGAAAGAAAAAACATATATGAGATTGACAGAAGAATAAAGCGAACATAACTGTATCTGTTTGTGCAAACCAAAATTACTTTTTTTGGCCAACCCAATATTTTATTATTTCTTTAAATAAGTTGGTTATTGTGTTGGTTATAATTCGGTATCTTTATTTTTTAATATAGGAGAACTTATTCCAAGGCATATGCAGATTTTCAAGAAAAATGACTTCTTCAGTGGCGTAACGATACCCGATGTAGACGTAAAGGTATGTTATAAGAAAGACTGAAATCTGACGCTTTTACAGAAATAAGCATAAACTGCAACACTGTTATGAGAATTACGAATTTGGAGGTTTAAAAAATTGAAATTGATTACTTAAGTATGAGAAATATATTTAGCCTTGCTTTTAAATCAGCTAAATCAAATGATTTAAAATTAGCATTTACAAAACTACTGTTTCTAACGTTATTTATTTGTTATAATATTCTGATTAACGCGTTATATATGCGTAGTTTGGCTGAAAGGTTTCTGATTTGACAGGAAAGGAGATGAAATATAGAATTGGCATATTATATGATTTCATTGCTAAGACTGTTGTTCTATCCCTCAGTTAGATTTATGACACCATGTTTCATCCTGAATCCCAAGTCTGCTCATAAAATTTTTTATGTTTTGAAAGCATGGTTTGCAAATTTGCATGAGAGAAACACTTTTCCTAATTTTGATTAACTTTTAAGTTTCGGAGAATGCAATGCACAGCCATTTTCTGCATGTCTAAGTGCTCCAGATTATGGCATGCATGTACCTTTTGGGAGCGCCCGGATGTGTTGCTGTAGTTTGTTATTTTAACATTCTATTCAACATGATCATATCATAGACTTTTGTGATGTTGTTGGCGGAAGCATTCCGTAGGTTATCAAGGTTGATTTTTATGTCCTCAAGGATTTATTTGACCATTGAACCCTGGAAAAAAGGTATCAAATCAGTGCACTATCGGTAATGCGCAGCTCATTTACAGATGACTCTATTCTTACTCAAACTTCTACTTGGAGATGAAGAATGATTCAATATTAGATTATGCGACCTCGAATAAAGAACTTGTAAAACTGACTCTTCAAATATTTCGAAAGGCTTCCGTTTAACTCAAGCCAAAACATTTAAAGCTGACTCATGTATTTTCCGATTTCATTTTCAGATCGTTTAAACTTCTAGCAGGGTGGATTAGTCCTGCAAAGTAGCGCCACACACAAACAAATAGTCCTTGCGTGCTTTGCTTCATGATCATATGACGCAGTAAAAACATCTGTCATTCGAATCAAAAATGTTGTTGAGTCTTATTATAATGCCAAACATTAGATACCATATTATAATGTAACTGATATGAAATAAGTTTTATTAGAAATTGGAAAAGAATAAATTATAGTTTACAACTTCAGCTAGTGTGAAACTGAACCAAACTGTTTTTGAAGCTTTCAATACTTATTATTATAAACTTTACATTTTAGTTTTCTAATTAAATGTCACTGAAGATTTAAGCTAAATATCCATCGTAGTTCATCTCTTTATAACAATCTGAAACAATACAGATAGTAATTATTCTCAAGATAATCTTTGTGATACTTACAAATCGTTATTGAGAGATAATATAACTACAGTCTTTTAATTTGTTGTCGCAGATATAATTTTTATATTATAAGGTATTTCTCCCGCCTTTCTAGCGTGCCTTCGGGGTGTGGTGGTCTGCACACTGGGCCGGTATTTCAGAGATCCGCGGTTCGATTCCCGCCGAAGACGCGGTTAATTTTTCATCTTTCTTGCTTCCCAAAAATACCTAATTTTTCTACAATATTCTAATCAAATTTCCTTGACTATGAGTTTAGGAATTCCACGTGAATCAATGTAAGTAGTTAAAATGTCAAATGAATTGTTAGACTTAAGTTTCATCTATCAGTTAATTGTATGCTGTATACAAAAAAACTGATTGGACACATGTGATGGCCGAATGTGAAAGAATCGTCTCGGTATAACACATGCAATGCCATAAGAAAAGACTAAAATTAGGAACTTAGTGACCGTGAGCATATCTGCTGACCTCTGTTTTCGAGGGTGGCAGAGGATATATGGGCATTTGGTCTTCAAAGTTAGGGTTAGAGTTGACAGCACTACCCGGCAAAATCTCACTGTCTCGAATACAAGGAACAAAAAATAAATCCTCAACTCAAATAGTATGTTAGTAATTGAATGTTAACTTAAATATTAATCAATAAAATAAAATCCATAAGATTTCCTACAGGCGTTTCTCATTCATAAAAATTTTCAGTTGTTAATGATACCAATTTCAGTTCGTTTTTGCCTTTAAGGGAATTATTTCACAGTTGTTTTCTCTTTTTGTCAATAGCTTTGCGTCAGTAGTTTTGTTTCTTTTTTAATTGGAAAATTTTCGAATTTTTTGGTCTAATGTTAACGTATTAGCACATGCGTTTCCTTCGTCATTTTCACTCCTGCAACTAAAGAAGGTTCTATTTAAATCTTCGAAAGTAGTCTTGCAAATGTATGTAACATCTGTTGATTCTTGTTGCTCCAGTATCTCCAACGGTTTTCTTGAGTATGTTATTTTAGTTCCTACAAAGAATTTATAAAAGTAAATAAATGCGAAATTTAAAGAACTTGTCTTGAAATGACTGAAATTTCGGGACTTCTGGGATGCATCAAAATCTGTTCGGTATTAAAAATAAATATTAGACGTCCCAGACGTCATTTTATATAAGCCCAGATATTATTGCAGCCCAGACGTTCAGCAGACGTCATGGTAGCCCAGAGGTCATTGTATGTTAAAAGATTGAAGACCAAGACACTAACCTTCAGGAGAAAATTGCGCGATCTTTTAGTAAGTTTATTAGCACACGAGCATTGATTTACTTGCTGTAAATACGAAGGACATTTAACATTGTATCTTGAGCAAAACAAAGGAAGAAAGAAATTTAGTGATTTTACAACTTATATACATACATTCAATATTAACATACGTTTTCATGAATTACAAATTTGTTTTCAACAATTTTAGTCTAATTCTCACAGCATAAATACAAAGAATTTTCACAGCAAATGCAGCATACAGGACATTGCTTTATACAGAAGAAATAAATGAGCAAGAGCAAAATATTTTGTTCCTGAAGAAAGAATCCTAATTTATGCCTTAGAATTCATTATCTATATATACACATTTTCTAAATTTTAAATCAACACCAAAACGTTTCGAAAATTTGAAGTCGTTAATATTATTAAATATTCTATAGTTCAATAAATAAACAACAATTTAAAAAGCAAAATATTATGTAACATTAAATAGAAACATTTATTCATACATAATACTAATAATGTAAACAGTTCTTTTTATCATTTTGTGTATAATGTTATTTTGAAGCTATTGTCTTTCTCAAGAACACTTACACATTCATATTAACGGAATTTTCAAAATATTTTTGTTTGCTTTTGAAAAGAATTATTTACAGCTTAAATCCTATGATCCAAAAATTAATGATTTTTAACAAAAGCATACTATCTGAAACTAAGACTCAAAAGCAAGTTAAAAATATCACCCTCGATTCTTCTTGGATAAGATGAAAATCCCCATGAGTAACTTGAATAAACTTTTATTGCAGTGTTTACTTTTTAAAGATTTGGATGGTGAATCTAAAGGCATAATAGTCATTTCAGATCGTCATCCATTCAATATGCTTGCCGAATCGCTGGATAAAGAGGTTAAATTTCTTAAATGGCGTATGCTGTTGAAAGTGCAAATTAAGTTAAAATGAGCATAAGAATACTGAGAAGTATAATTTATTTGAAATAAAGAGAATAAACATCGAGAAAGATTTCAGCTGTTTAATGATACGTTCTAAAATGTAAAAGTAGTATCTGTAGAAAGTGATTTAATTTATCTTCTTACAATATATTATTACGAAAATGAATTATACCCTAAGTATTTTAATGTCTGCTGTTTTGTAGACTAGAAATATTTTAAAATAATTTAAAATATCTGAATACCCAAAAAAGAAGCAAGTTTTGAAATCATTTGAAATTTTGTTCTTTGTGCGCTATAGTATATATTAAGTGTTTCAAACAGAATAGGAAAATGTGTTGTTTTTATTAAATGTTTCGGTTCAGAAACAGCAAAAAATTAATTCTTCTCCAAAGTATACTTAAATTTAAACCCAGATATTTTAATTTTGTAAATTGTATTACGATGCTTACTGGTACTGAAAATGCTTAGATAGGTGCTTACTGATGCTTAAATACTAAAAATATTTCTGCAGCCAGGGGAAAAATACATAAGGAAAGCATCAGTCTTCAGTTTTAAGTTCAGAGTTAATTTCGAAGTATCGAGAGACCTCTATGCGAGCTTCAGTCTTCAATGCCCTGTGTTTAACATTCTTAATACTCATTCAATTCTTCTGTAATACTGAGAAGTACGAGTACTTTTGTGGAAAGTTCCAGAACTGTAAAGTGTTTCTTTGGAACAAGTAAATTGCATCGAGTTATCATCAATTCTGTGTGTATTCAATCCATTATGGACCTGTACATACGCAAAATATTTTTGATGTAAATTCTTCAGATAGGAAGTGACTTACCTCGGACATGTTATCCCTGTCAAAGGTGTGTTTAGGGATCCAGAAAAAGTGTCGGTAGTTAAAGACTGAAGGCGCCTCGAAAATGTCCATCAGACGAAACATTTCCTGAGGTTTTGCACGTAGTATGGGAGATATGTGAAGGTTTTTTCATTCATTGTAAGATCCCTTCACAAACTGATAGAGAGCAAGCAAAGATTTTTGTGGACAAACGAATGTGAGGAAGTACTTAATAAATTGAAGGAATCCTTAACATCTTCAACTATTCTGACGTATCCTTAGCTGGACAAACCATTTATTCTTCACAAGATACGAGCATTAAGAGTATCGTTGCTGTTTTTCCCCAAGAAGTAAAAGGTCAAGAAGAGGTCGTAGCATACTGTAGCAACTGTGTATCTAAACCGGAGAGGAACTAACTGTTTCACTAGGAAATAATTGTTCTATATCGTTAATGCCTTAAAAACTTTCCATCATTGTCTCGACGGCAGAAAATCCCTTCTCCATACAGACCATGTATCGTTCGCCTGGTTAATAAACTTCAAGAACCTAGGAAGTCAGATAGCTAGCTGGGTACACAGACTGCATGACCTTATTCAGAAAGCTGTCGACATTGTTCAAGGTCGAAGCGAAATACAAGCTGGTCAATTCGGTAGTTCTTCAGGTTACAAATTCAACACCATCTGACCAAGACACATGGAGTGACCAAGAAATTAAAAAAGACCAGTTAGAAGACTCAGACCATTAAACCTATAACCATTAAGACCATTAAGAACCGACCTATAACCATATTAAAGACCATTAAACCTATAACCAACTTAGTGAAGTCTTCAAAATAGGAATCCTATCTGGCAGAGCATTTCGATCTGTAGTCCTAAGACGAAGCGATATTGGGCTTTCTAGGATTCACTCTATATTCGAAATGGCGTCTTATACCAAAGTCCGAATCGGACTTCCTTAAAAACTACATAGTATCCTGGCAGGAGGCCGCTTCTTCAGACAAATGATGACTTTGCATAAAGTTTGAGGGCGTTTCTACAAGAATAAATCAAGGTCTGACGTGCAAACGTTGGTGCCAGTTTTGCGATGACTGTGCGGGTCGGAAAGACGGAAGAAACGCCGGCAAAGGAGAGACAGCTTTAACTTTAACAATGTAGGAGCGTATGCATATAGTACTATTAATGTTTTTGCTTTGTTGAAAAATTCTTTGAAAGAATGGCGACTTACAGAGTTAGAGAATCACTAGAAAGTAGTTTTGACATAGAGGTCTAAATTTGATAAATTAAGAAAAACATCTTTTATCATAAAAAACAAGGATTCAGAATTATAGTTACCGGGTGCTTTGGGAAATTAATAATTGTTAAGGTTTGAAGCTAGATTGAATATCATTGTTGCTTTTGGCTCTTTGGAAAGAGTTGTAAAAAGATGGCTGCTTACAGAATTAGAGAGTTTCAAAAAACAGTTTTATCAGAATGCTTTAAATTTGATTTTGATGAATGAAGAAATCGTAGAAACACTGATTCTATCCTAGAAACACTGATTCGGAACTATACTGAATGCTTTCGGAAATTAACAACTGTTACGGTTGGGCTGTTTGAAAAATACTCTGATATTTCAGTTACAGTTATTACCTTTATTAAAAGAATTTACATGAATATAATTGATTTATTTATTGTAAACAAAGGAATAAGTTGGCAGAACTGTTGTTGCTTTTAAAATATTTGCTATATTTTGAAAATAAGTACACATTTTGTTTGACTTTGGGTTTATAATTTTATTGCTAAAGCATTAGTTTTGACAAAAGCGTGAAAGTTAAAAAAAGAAAAAAAAAACTTTTTCTAAAAAAAGACTTTTGTAAAAAAAGTTTTTTTTTCTTTTTCTAAAAAAAGACTTTTTTTAAAAAAGTCTTTTTTTTAGAAAAGCATAAAGTTCTTCTAAAACATAGGTATGCGATTAAAGTACTTTCTGTTAAAAGTGTTTGATCTTCTTATAAGTTTTATATTTTGGATTCTGTTCAGAGTTTACTTTCACATGATAGAAGAAACAATAGTAAAAAACAGAAGAATAAATAAAAGAGAAACTATACAGTTCTTTTAAAGTCTCAGATGAACTCTTTCGGCAATCGTAGAAAGACCAAAAAATAAAATTCAACTAATTTAGCGTTGAAAGGAAAGCAGATGGTACAAAATATGATATGTAAACATCGAAAAGTTACGGTTATAATTATGCCGCTTAATAATAGTATTTCAATACTTAATCTTTAAATTTTGTTCCCACAGGAAACACTGGAAAGTAAACTTCCTGAGAATATATCGGAAGAGGAATTAGATTTTCTAAAGGTAAGGAAATTTGTATTAATTTTTTAATCATTTATTAGAATTTACGCCTTCTTGTTAGCACCCTTAATTACATTTTCTAAATATTTGATGAGTCAATAATTCAGCCTATCTACCGTATGTCGGAATTCATAATTTCTAAATTTATTTAATCTTTTATACTCCAGTATTAAGAATGCAGAAAATTTGCTGTAGTTTGTAAAAATGAAGTAGAGTAAAAGTAAACTTTATTACGCTAGTATAACATTTAAAATATACATCTATATCAAATAGAAACATAGGATAATTTAGTGCTTACATAAAAAAGGAAATAGCCTAATTAAAATGAGATGCCTGAGATGGCAATTGTAATCAAGAGTAGCCACAAAGTACTGAATATGCAGGCTTTGCGCGTAGACACATGCAATTAATTTATACATTATCACATAAAATGTAGGTAGCATTTTAGAAACCAAAGGTTTTTCAAAAATTTATTTTAATATCTTGATATTTTAGACCCCATGTTTCATATGTTCTAGTATTTCAATCACGTTGCTGTTCCTCAAAATAAACTCGTAAGTAATTTAATTATTTTTAATCATGACCTCGGGATTATTCAAAATTTTTTATGGCAAGTACTTTTCAAATTTCCCAAACATATTGTGCATGATAATTATGTACTACAGTGACGCACTTTAGAAGCTGCCTTGCAACTTCATTGCATTCTATGCAATATCTGTAGTGATAATATTGTACATGATAATTATAAAATTGCATTCATGTATAAAAATTACTATATTAAGGTTAAATTGAGCATAATGGAATTGTTGATAAAATATTCGTCATGAAAATATACGTAAAGCATGATAAAATATTCCTGTCACTATTTTTATTTAATTTCGCTAAATGTGAGAGCATATTGTATGTTATGTGTTAATTATTAAATACTTCAGTTTTGTGCTAAGCAATTGTATTTTATCCAAAACTTCTTTTATAGCTATTGCAAACTCTGAAATGACTTCTCTCTGTAGATAAAATATATTAACAGGCAAATTTGCTGTCAGAAATTGAACTGATAGGTATGCTTTTATATCAACTTATTTTTGTTTCCGTACTTTTGACCCCCTTCCGGTTTGCGTGTTAACTGAGGTGTTAACAGAAGATTGCTCTCTCTCCCTCCGTCCCCTCCCAAAAGTTAACATGAGTTTTCTAAAAAGAAAATTATAACAGGAAAAACTTTCCTCAAAAATCACGCAAGCTTCTTTCCAATTCCCCCAAGTCCAAGTAAAATTTTCTTCGTAACATGTCATAGTTTTGAATAAGTGAAGCGATTTCTTTTCTCAAGTCTTTTCAATTGTCAGAAGTAATTTAATTATTTGATTGATATTTTAAATTTGGAACATTACTTATTCAATGCATTAAAAAGTAATCATAGACGACTTCGATGAATTTTTTCAGATAAAGAAAAAGTTTTTTTTTTCAGACAAGAAACAGAACATCTCGCAGAGGCGAAAAAAATAACCTGCTGTTCATAATGCTGGTTTAAACCTGCTGTTCATAATAATAGTGGAATTTATAATATTTTCTGAAAATAAAGGTGTAAGATCCTTCAGGTTTCAATTTTAAGAAAAGGTAAAAAATAACTTGATCATCAGGAAAATAAAATTGAATATTGAAAGGCTGGTTTTCAAAGCTTCTATGGAGAGCTGAGATGGGCAAAACTGTTCTTGTATGAAATCGGATCAGAACGGTTTGCTCGATGAAATTAATCTGTTCTTTTTTATGATTCACTGTTCACTTATAATAATCCTGATGAAAAAAAAGTCCGGGACGACAGATGAATGAAAAGCGAAGACGGAGAAAAGAACGAAAAGATTCCATTGAGAAGTGGGATAGGAAGAATCGAACACCAACTCGCTGACATGATTTCTTTCAACTGTAGTTTTGAGACTTCCTAACATCTCCTTTGTACACGGAAGTAACAATAAAATTTTTCATATAGCTAGGAAATGAGAAAATTTAAACTTATTTTTAACAAGGGAGGATAAAAATTCTCTTCTCCCATAAAATGAAAATAAAAATTTCCTGACACGCTTCCAACAAAAGTTCCGCTTTTTTTCGCCAGTGAGGAGTTCACTCGCTTAATAAATTCAATCAATTCATGAACGAATGGCAGACTCTGGTTCTGATACACTTCCAACAAAAAGGTCTCCAGAAACTTTAAAAGAACTACAACTCCATTTTCTGGAGTCAGAATAAATTCATTCAGTAAATTTAATCGGTTATTTGGATCAGTTCCGGAGCGGGTAGTCCAACTCTAATGGATAATCCTATCATGGTCCTGATTGTTGTGAGCAATATATCCATCATTTAAAGAAAAAGAGGTAACAGTACTAAAATTCACTGAATTGTTGCTTTCGAAAGAAAAGATATTAACGGGGTGTCAAAATAATTTATATGAAATTAAATGGGTATTTGCAGACGCTGATTACTAATAATTCTATGTCGTCAAGGACAATAATACGAACACAAATTGTGCACAATTTTAGATTTAAGGTTATTATTTTACCTCAAATGAAGAATGCTGTTAAGAGCTTTCTTTGAAATAAAGATGAGATACATTTTTTGTTTTGGAACCTATTTAGATTTATTAAAATTATTTTATTATTATTTAAAAATGTATTTTAATTTGATGTCTTAATTTTGCAAAAGCTTGTAAAGCGTATAAAAAGTAGTTCAAAGAAATCCTCCTTCCATTGCATCTTATGTATCTGATTCTGGAATTTTTACTTATTAGTGCTTTGTGTAATTATTTAACTGCATTCAGAATATATTAAATTTTAAGCAAACTAAAATGTTTATCAATTAGATTTAAACTCATATTTCTTTTCCCTTTATGCAATGACAGGAAAACAGTTATTTCTCTTTAATTTTTCGGTACCGGCAATTTTCTCAAGTAGAGTTTCCAAGAAAAAAATAGAACTATATTATTTTTCCTATAACTTTATTGCCTCGAGTTCCTCTATCTGAACGAATATAAATGATATTTACTTTGTCATTGAGAGGATTCTGTGTGCCTAAAGAGTAAAAAAAAAGAGTCATTCATCATTCTCCTCGTACAGAATAACATGTTGGATATAAACGAATGTGCAAAAGAACAGCTAAGAAAATTGTTCCTAAAATCTGTATTTTATTCATTTGAATACATTGCTGCTCAATTTCGTTTCCTAAAGTTTATTTTAAAAAGAATTCATCGATTGTAAATAAAATGAGAGGTTAATTTAAATGCAGCACAGCATACTTCCTTGTACGAAGTAAAAAGGAAGTATTGTAATCGCGAAAAGTTTCAGGCAGCGTATTTCAACGAAAATATCCATTTTGACCGCTATGGAAAGAAATTTAACGATGTTTTTGCGTGATATCTGTGCATAAGGACAGAATAAAAGACTCGTTTCTTCCAAAAAAAAATTATAAAACAGCTTTAAAATTAATTCTGAAGAGAATTTTTCGTGGCGTCTGTACGAACGTATGTACGTACGTACGTATCTCGCATAACTCAAAATCGAGTGGCCTCAGAACGTTGAAATTTTGTATATAGGACAGCTATAACATGTAGATGTGCACCTCGTATTTTGGTTGCAATCGGCCGCACCAAACGTATATAAATATATTTATATATCCACTCTGTACCCGGCTCAGTGATTTCAGTTTTTTTACTCTTATATGTTTGTAAATTGTACATTTTTTGCTTTAAAAATGATTGTATTATGTAGTTTTTATCTTCCGGTTAAGGTTTTTATGCCTTTAGTAAATCTATATGCAATATTTTTAGAATTATCAACAATTTTAAAGTTGTTTAAGTGCCGCTAAGCCGTTTTTTTTATGGCGGCCATTAATGTTTACATTTGAAACAGGAGACTAGTGGATTTGTTGCCAATCTAGAGAAACTTAGCTTCGCAACAACAAAGATAACGCGTTCATTTTATTATTGCCAATTAAATCACGCTTAATTCTTTCTGAAATTTTTTCGACGAAATAAGTGTTTAAGATTTACTTCGTAATTTTTAATATAGATATTTGGAGTTTTTATGTATTTTTGCCTTCTCACGAAGTGAGAAGTGAATTAATGAAATGAGAAATACTCAATCGTCTGTGAAAAACTGTTTCTTTTTTGTTTTGTTTGCTTAATTTCTTTTATACATCATTCTAGCTTTATTATATTTGAATAGAACATGTGGCAACCATTAGATAATTCTATTCTTTAAATGATAGAAATTTTGTGCATTATGAGTTATAATATGAACGAAATATATAAGTTAACTGTTATATAATTATTGGATTATATAACAGTTAACTTAGTTTCCGTTATATAATTATTATATAAGTTAACTGTTATGTAATTATTAATACTGTTAAGTGAATCTAGCGCCAGAGTGTCGCTATGGTAAACAAATACTACAGTGAATTTTAAAGAATGCATTTATTCTTTTGTGGTTTATGTTCTGTCGGCGAAGTAGATTTAATTCAATCCAATACGTTTAAATGAAATGCAAGAAAAAATTCGCATAATTTAATATTCCGTACAAGGAAGTCATGTGGTGTACACATCAGATTTTTTATCATTTGTTTTCCAAAATTAAAGTTTTAAGACAATCTAGTCATCTTCATTGCCCTTCGACTAATACATTATCAAATTATAAGAAGGTTTTAAAAATCTAAGTTACGTGTAAATTTTACTTTACAAAATATTTAAATAATTTTCTAATGTTTACTTATGGTGCTTATAATATAAAAATAATATTGCTTTTAATAGCTGTGGTGTTCAATAATAGATAATATAAATTTTTCTTTTGATAAAATTAACTCTTTATATTCCGAGATTTTAGATTATGAATGATTAAATAATCAGATAATTTTTGTAATGCCATTTTTCAAAATTAAATTTACTGTTCTTAATACAAATTTAGAAGTGTTTATATTTTAAAGTAGGTAATAATAATTTATCAGAACATAAATATTTCTCTCGTATGATCTCGCAAGACGCCCCTCTATGAAACCAGTTTGAGGAAAATAACTATGCAAACATTTAATGAAAAATTAATGTCACATTATTATTTTATAATGGAGGTTCATCCAGTAATTAATATTCAGGCTGAGGGTTTACTGAGGACGAAGAGACAGGCTATATAGTTATCTTTTGGGTTGAAAAATTCTGAAACATAAGCATTAATTAAAAATTTAATTTGTTCTTGCCAGTCTTCAGCAGTGTTGCGCAATTTCTTGACTTTCAAAATGAATTTTTTTTTCCATTTTCATGTGTTCACAGATAAGCGTTTTATCGTGAAGTTTGTTTAATATTCATGAGAACATTTAATAGAAAGTTACAGTACTTGTGCTGTAACGTAAATGCCCTTCCGTATAGTATAGTTACACTATTTCCTTGCATTCAGATTTTCACAATTCAGGACTATAAAAAACTGGATGTATTCAAAACTTTCTATACGCCTCACGTCTGTTAAGAGTTTTAGAATAAATCTTTATACCTTTCTTCTTTATCTGGAGATAAATGTACGAGATTTGTTAACTGAATATGATGCATTCCTGGCATCAAAATGGGACAAAAAGAAGATATCGAATGGATTTATTTATTTTCGCTTTCAGCGGAGGTGAGAAGAATAAAGACGTAAAATACTTTTTTGGTTTTATTTCGAAGCGCAAAAGGGAAGTATCTCATCTTTCTTTACGTTCTGAAGTAGGCATCTTTCATATTGTTGAAGTAAGCAGTTTTCATATTAAATACGTTGCCTTTAATATCTATGAAGGGAAGTGTCAGTTTCAAAATTGAAGAGGATTATATCTGCATTTCATTTTCCGTAAGTATGTCACATTACAGACATAATGTGTTTTGTTCTAGCACTCTGGTTTAGTGGTTAAAGTAGAGACATTAGGCATTTTTTTGGAAGCAGGCAAGATGAAAAATATGCAAGCGCCTTCGCCGGGAATCGAACCACGGACCTCTGGAATACCGGCCCAGTGTGCAGAACCATTACGCCATGAAGGCACGCTAGAAAGACGGGGAGAAATACCTTATAAGGTTTTGCAGAAGTACCTTTTCAGTTAATAAGATGCTGAGCAAGAAATACCAGCTGTCCTTTCGATGGATATATCCAAAATCATTGTGAAGTCAGATGTAGAACTTTGGAGTGCAATTCAGATTTTACTGTGTTAACAAAGCCGTACCTCAAATTATAACAGAGAACATAACCCAGAAAATGCACTGTCACTTTAATAGAATTTTAAGACAACTCTGCCAAATGACATTAATTTCTGGAAAATATTACTAAAATTCTAATAAGACCATTCTTTTGAAAATTATTTGAGTTTTTTTAATATGTTTGGTAAAAAACGTAAGGATTTTTTTAACAGTTCTGCCGTACTATTATTGTTAATTTTGTGAGTGATCATTGCATAAAGAGAAAATCAAGAGTCATGGCTTTGTGAATTTTGTCTGTTGAAAGTAAAATTTGTTTTACTTACAAGACTCAGCGTCATCATCAGATTCGAACGGAAGAGTCAGAACAAGATGCCACTACACGAGGAACGCAAGACGCTACACATCACAGACATGTCCGAGCTGAAGAAACAATGGCTGTACTAACAGACAGGCTTCTTATGACTACAACACGACATTCACAATGCGGAAAGCTGTGAACTCGAAGTTTCCGTTGAGCAGCCCAGTATCAGTTGAATGGAAGCTTCTCTGCGATCTCTGAAGTGGACTCTTCTTTCATGAAGAAAGGAACAGAAGAGGAAGATACGTGCACTGTCATAATGGGAAAATTGCTGAAGTTGAAAGAAGATATCTATAAGAATGACGTAGTTTAATGACGAATAGGAACCCCCAATTTTCTCAAGGTTTTTTTCCTAACATACGTACGTATAATTTTCTTCTTAGTTTTGCTTCCATGGGCGCTAATACAGAAATGCCTACAGGTTCAGGAGAGTATTGTTTTAGAATTATTGTGCCATATATCATCGAGCAACCCACCTTCATCCACCTCATCCTGATCAAGAACAGTGTGCCCATCTGTATGTTTTAGATTCGGATCAAGCCCTCATGGAGAGAAGGATACTTGAAAATTTTGCTCTGAATGCTGAACTGCTGACACAATTGGATGCAGTTAGGAATGTGAATTCGTATGCAGAAGCCTACAAGATTCTGAAAGAACTTGAAGAAGAAACTCTATAAGGTATTTCTCCCGCCTTTTTAGCATGCCTTCGTAGTGTAATGGGCAGCACGCTCGACGCATATTCGAGGGGTCCGTGGTTCGAGTCCCGGCGGGGGCATTGCTCTTTTTTCATCTCTCCTGCTTTTAAAAAATACCTAATGTCTCTACAGCTCTAGGAGAGCAAGATGCTGAAACTTCTGCTGATATCCGAATGTATATCAAGGGCGAAAGTGTTGCTACAAGTGAGCACAGAGGACGTTACAACGCTCCCCCCCCCAAATGAACTTGCTGTTGTTTTCAAGAAGGCAGACGACGTTCCTCCACCAAACAGAAATATTGTGATACATCCAAGAGGCGGTGGTCTCATTAATATCAGTATTTTAAATCCTAACTTGGAACTGATGACGTATGTAACATTCTTTTTGCAAAGTGATAAAGGATTCAGAGCTGGACTTTTATAGTACACAGATTTACAGTTTAGTCACAGAGGGTCTGTACGACAAAATTGCTACAACCCTATTTTATATGGGTGAAAATTGTTTCAGCAGTATCTTGTGGATTCATACGTAAAAGCTGAAGGCAACAAACCTGCGTACCTCAGAAGCCACCAAGCGAATTTTAGAGTGGAAATTTACATGGGTCTTGCCGATCCCATTTACAGAGTTGATCAAACAACAGGTGCCCGGCTTGGAATACCGGTTATAGTTCCATCAACATTTATAGGAAGCCTTCACTGAATGCCTCAAAGCTATCAGGGATCTATAGCCATTGTACGTGACTTTGGTGAACCAGATCTATTTTTGACTTTCACTAAATGGACAGAAATAACAAAAAACTTATTCTCAGATATTGTATCAAGACCTGAAGAAATTATTTGACCTGAAGAAAACAGCTTTGTTGCACGTAGATTTGGTGCCATAATTATAATTTTATATATTTAATAATTTAATATTACGTGTAAAGTCTTGATCCACTCCCTAAGAAGAGAATATACAGGAAAATTGCATTTATTTAAAGGGAGCTGAAAGAGGATAATAAATAATGTTGCGCTCCTCTGGAAAACTCTAACCTTTCATTTCAACCTTGAATGAAGAAATATGTTCTCTCGTTCATTTTTATGCATTAAGCTAAAATTATTTAAAGATGTTTCCTTATTCAGTATAAAATATTAAAAGCTTCTCATTATTTAGTAACGCTGCTTCAGATAGAGTTATGTTATAATGTTACTTCAACCAGCATTAGTAAACTATTAGTATAAAAAATGCATTATTTTTCTCTTTATAGAAATGCCTGGATAAAGATCCTGATAAGCGATATACGTGCGAACAGCTCTTCCACCATCCGTACTTTGAGGGCTTTGGTAAATCCGATTTCGACAACGATGTATTATCTACAAGGCTAAGAAAAGATAAGCTAAAGGTAAATATTTACGCATTATTTCTCAACTTTTTCGTAGCATTCTGTGATTCTAAAACCGTGTTATTCATTACTGATCATGGTGAAAGTTTACAGGTAAAAGTTGAAGGTAAAGCTGGTCCGTTTCGTTTGCATTATCGAATTATTTCCTTGAAATTTTGATTCCATATAGATTGAATTCAGAACTGATTTAAATTCTAACCCATATTTTCCTTCAAACCACAAACGGATAAATTCTTAAACTAATAGTATTTCTCATCCCTAGTTGCCATTATATGATCTGCCTTATAATGGCATTCTTTATCTTTTATTTCGTTTCACAGTAGAGGGAAGCGTTATGGCTAATAGAAAGTTCTCGAAGACTCTAGGATTTTGCTATGTTTATGGTACAGATGTTTCATTTAGGTATAGCTGAAAAAGAGAAAATTTCCTGAAAACACTTTTGTTTTGTTTACCCTATATTGCCCAATATTTGTATGCCTTCAACGCTATTTCCTTGGGTGCATCACTTTCTAGTAAAATGTCGAGTACAGAAAGAAAGCTTCACTTTGAAGAGAGAACTGAACAGAAGTGTTTATGGAATTTATTCTAAGATAACTGTTAAATTAACTTTTTTGTCGGCAAGAAGTTTCAAAGCACCATCAACTTGCAAAAGCGTTTTTTTAATAAATTAGTCTCAAAATACGGCATGTAAATATCAGAAAGAAGATAAATTCATCAATAGGCAAATTAATTTTCCTCGAAATTTTTCACATGCATCAAAATCTGCGAATTCCAGTTAGAATCATGCCATGCTGATGGCGTTCATGAGTCTCATCAGATAAATATATTTGTTCCTTTCATTCTTACTTGGTTCGTACAGAAATGATTGACACATCGGCTCTCACAACGAAACTATTACGTTATGCGAAGAGAAAGCAAGTGATATAGTAAGATCCATTGTCGCATGGTTTAGGTGTGCGGGAACAAAGTACTCTCAAGGCGTACCGTAGCCCGTTGGTAGGCCAAGTTCAGAAGTGGAGTGGAGACCGCGTCCAAAGGTGTCAGCGCGGGACGACCAGCAACATCGAATACATCAGCATATGTGGCAGCCGTGACAGGTTTTATCATGGTTAACAGGCGCATAACGTTCAACAATGCGGGAAGAGACAGGGCTTGTTGCGCAAGGAACATTGCAGGCGATTGTGCATTGTGATTTGGAGATGACAAATGTGTGTACAAAGTGGGTGTACCTCGAACTACGCCTTGCATGGCAACATGAAGGACGCAGTCAAGGCCACCATGTTGAATTTTCTGCCGAATTGCATGCAATTGTCCATTAAGTGGTGCACCAACACCCCCATAAGCAGGCTTACCAAAGCCCTTTGGGACCTCTCAGACAGATGGGAGAAGTGTATTGCTACAATGTATTGTAACAGCTACCGAAGACTGAAATCTTGCTAATTATTAGATTTTACAAGCAGGCGCGACTCTCCTGTATTTTATTTATCTTTCTTATTCTGCTTAATACTCCAAGATTGTACATTTTCACTTTTCACTAGTAATGTATAGAAGTTATGCATATACTAGTTTTCAGTTCCAATATCTGATGTCTTACTTGAATTTAAAAAAAATTGAAACTCGGAAGACACACATCTACATAACGGCAAAGCACATGAGAGTTATTTATTTACCTAGGGTTGAGAATGCGTAATAGATTGAATGCACAAGGCTGATGAAAAGTTAATAAAATTTATTCTTATCACAAGAAATCAAACAATTCTGAAATATCTCTTCAGAGATATTCGTACAATATCATAATATCTCACAGTAGTTATATTTTGAACTACTAAAAACGTTAAATAGAGCGCAATCCAAAACACTGAGAAAGATAATCCGATCTCACCGCGAATACGCTACAATCAACAGCAGATACTTAGTTAAAGAACTGAGATGTTTTCCTCCGGCTTTTAATTTTTTAAGTTTTTTAATCGTGCACGAGAACATTCTGGTATTTCCATTTTCTCGACTTTTCTGGATAGCAAAAGAGTACAATTACAAGATATCTATTTATTAAATGTTAAATGCGCATGCTCCTGTATTTTTACTTTTTCGGCGTAGCTTTCTCTTAAAACTCGTCACGCACAACATTCCACGGGGAAATGAAACACTTTAATTACAATTTTACTAAAAGCAGCAAACTAAATACAAAAGCCGTAACAATATATTTTATGTGTCTTTGCCTTGCCGCCGTTTTTATGTGTCTTTGCCTTGCCGCGAAGCGAGAGCTGAAACAATTGAATGAGAAATATAACTCTTATGAAATTCGAGAAAATACGTTTAAATGAAATGCAGTAAAAATGCGTATAATTTAACTTCCGTACAAGGAAGTCATGTGGTGTGCACATCAGATTTTTTATTCTTATGTCTATATTTTTTCTAGCCATTTATCTATGAATATAGCTGTATAATACATATATAAGCATACACAATATGTGGTAGCCTATTGTTGATGTCATTTGTAAGCCAGTAATAACTTATTAATCGTTAAGTTTCTTATTAGTCAAATATTGTAAGGAAATTTGGAACTGACAAGGTAACTAAGCCCTGAGTACTGCAGAAGTCAATTAGAAATCTTGTCCGTCGGAAGGAAGATAAGGAGATTTACATCTCCATCACTACAACTTAAAATTATTAAGTAAAGTACTTTTTTAAAAACAACAATTCAAGTTATTTAAATTTCTATATAAACATTAACATTATTCTATATTTCTATCTATATAAAGGGTTTTCACATTTAGAAATACTTGTAAATACTTTAGAAATGCTGAAATAGCTCGATATAATTCTTCTTATTTTCTGTAAAATCAATTATAAAACTGAAGAAGTTATTTATACAGATTCAGAAGTCAAACAACAAAAATCAGCGTTATACCCACAAAACTTTCACAGGACTAGTTTCGATGGTTTTACCGAACCATCATCTTCAGCTGCAAAACCGCAAATGAACAAGATAGGAAATAATGATTAGATAAGATAAGAAAGCCTGGACAAGAATAAGCAAGTGGCGCCATCTGTTGGCGAAACCAGAACTAAAACATAATTTCTCTAAAAGCCGAAGGCAAATTTGGATTGGAATTAGGATCGTTTAACTAGAACAGAAAGATTTTTATGAATGTGAAATGCCTCTAGAAAATCCAGTTCTCCAATGGAAGATGTTTTTTTGAATAATTTTGGCAGCAGAAAAATTGAAAGTGTGATTTCGGACCAACAATGTTGAGCAACAGAAGACTTCTGTGTTTCCTTTTTTTCTAACATATGCCTCATGTTCTTTGACGCGAAATTTTAAGGCTCTCTTAGTTTGGCCAATGTAAATTAAAACCACACTGGCAAGGAATCCTATAAATACCCCAGGAATTCATATCCGGGATGGGGTCCTTGAGTATAGAAGTTGGAAATTTATTGATGGAGAAGTAACAACCCGAAAGTTAAATTTCTGCAAAATATGTGCAACTTTATAGCTAATTGATGGAAAGAAGGGAATGACAACAGAATTTTTATAATCTCCTAAAATAAGAGTGTGGCTTTTAGTGTGTTGAGATGAGAATTTTTTAGCTGCTTGATTAATAATGTTGGGTGAAAAGCCCCTGTCAATAGCTATTGCTTTTAAATAATTTAGTTCTTCATCAAGGGCTAGTTTGGAGGAGCAAACTTGAAGAGCACGGAAAACATAGGAATAAAATGAAGCTAACTTTTGTTTAGTCGGATGACATGATTTAAAGTGTGGTGGAAGGCAAACCGATGAAGGTTTACGGTAAACTGTAGTACTGAAGTTGGATGTGTTACGTGTGACCAGAATGTCGAGAAACGGAAGAGAATTGCAAGTCTCAAGTTCAAAAGTGAACTGAATAGCAGGATCAATAGAATTTCATTGTTGAAAGAACTTTATTTAAATCATCTTTATTACCTTCAAACAGGGTAAAAGTATCGTCTACGTAGCGGAACCATGCCGGGAAGTTTAAAGTTTCAAACAATTTTGATTCATAATAATGCATGTAGATATCAGCCAGGATGGGACTGAGGGGGCTTCCCATGGCTAATCCCTCAGTTTGCTTGTAATATTTATTTTGGAAAACAAAATGTGTTTGTTTCAAACAGAGTTGGGTGAGAGAAATTAGCTCATCAATTTCGATGCAAGAGAAATGAAATTCGCGAAGTCTGGTTTCTAGACAGCTTAATGCACCCTCCACTGGGACATTGGTGAATAATGATTTTACATCAAAAGAAACCATGAGTAAATTACAAGGAGAAATGTTTTTAACAATTTTTACAAACTCTATTGAATTTTTTATGGTGTAAATGTTATTGTCTAATAGAGTGGAAAATCTAGAAACTAAATATTTAGCTAAAGGATACGAGGCAGTACCTAAATTTGATACAGTAGGGCGGAAAGGAATACCACTTTTATGAATTTTGGGAAGAGCATATAATCTGGCACAATTCGCAACAGATGGGATAAGCGAATGTTTTAAGTTGCTTGAAATGATTTGCGAAGATTTGATCGCAGTTTTTATTTTGGATAAAGAGTTAACGATCCTAATTCCAATCCAAATTTGCCTTCGGCTTTTAGAGAAATTATGTTTTAGTTCTGGTTTCGCCAACAGATGGCGCCACTTGCTTTATTCTTGTCCAGGCTTTCTTATCTTATCTAATCATTATTTCCTATCTTGTTCATTTGCGGTTTTGCAGCTGAAGATGATGGTTCGGTAAAACCATCGAAACTAGTCCTGTGAAAGTTTTGTGGGTATAACGCTGATTTTTGTTGTTTGACTTCTGAATTAGTATTTATTCGGCGTGTTATTGTGTATTAATTATTTATATAGCTTTGAACCTCTTTGAAAGGAAAGCAACAGTTTGCAATCTAAGTGTAAATACTACATACGTTAATGGATTGGAACTAAAATAAATGCAATTGATATTATAGCTTTGAATGAAACAAAAAATTAACTGAAAGAATGTACGTAATAAATACCATATAACAATTTATCAATATATAGATAAGTAAGCAATAGCTAGAAAAACGTATAAATTGTGTTGATCATAAAAAGGAATCTAATCTGGATAAGTGTATCAACAATTAATTCTTTCATTTCAGTTCTTAAATACGTGTTACACATCATCTGATACGTAAAATATCGAAGTTCGTGATGTTCAAACATTTTGTGTGCTCCTTCAGTAAACACACATAAATGGCAATCCCATCATTCCACATTCTTTTAGATTGTAACAAATAACAAATACATTGCTGTGATGTCTTCCTGCCGACGTTCTTACAATCTAGTAAGCGAAAGAGAAAGTAGCTTTTGATGAATGCTTAGTGGAAGAAACGATTATTTGGGTTAATAAGATTACCATTCGTCAAGAAATGACTATTAGAAATTATTATTTTGTGGCTCAGGAAAAAATACATAAACTAGCCTTTGAGGAATAAGATTATCATTTATCAAGAAATAAAACTTTCGTAGACAAATGGAATCTGTAAAATTTGTTTTTTAATTTTGAACAGGTTGCGTTTAAATTTTTCCGAACTGAAGCAAGTAATCTAAGGTAATTTTTAATATTTTGCAAGATAACTTGATAACTTGCATAAGCTATTTTTTAGTTAAATTGATTGATGAGTATGAAAGTATAAATTAATTTGATTTATACGTTTCTGAAGACTGACGGAAATCATAGAGCTATCTGTCGTTTTAATCAATGTCAAAAGATTCGTAACAGCTTAACTTAAAACTTAACGGGTTTCTTCATATTCAGTATCATTTTATCTTAAAAGTTTGCTATGCTGATCTGCTTATCATTGTATTCCCCAACAAAACTTTGAGCTATAGGAATACGTTAAACGTAATAGAGGAAACTTTGCCAGTATGACTACTTTTTCTCCCATTAGTTTTTTCACATTGCTAACTAAATTTTATTTAGTCGATTATAATAAAGTAACCAAGACTCAAACAGAGTTGCTTTTGTGAAAGAAATTGCAAGGGAAAATAGCATATTACATAGGGTCATACATTATTCACATAGGGTCAAATTGTAAAGATCACAATGCAATTAGGCTACTCTCCAGGAAAAGTACAGAATCATTCAGAGACCAAAATTGCCAGCATTCAGAGATTCTCATCCAATTTGTTGCATTATTTGAACTAGAGAGTAATTGCATTGTTCAGTCAGGAAGGCCCTGAATTATTGTTAAGTTAGTCTAATCTTCGAAGACGATTATTCGTACCCGAGGCTAAATGCTTGAATTTTATTTGTAATTGGGTTATATATTTGATTAAGACAAGCATACTAGGGCTACCAGGCTGAGCTTTGTCCAGTTTTGACTGAGTTTCTTATACCTCATGTTATTTCATCAAATCCAAAAAACCTTCTATTTCCTACCCTACGATAATTTACCATTACCACTTCCATCCTTTACACATTTTAAATGTTCTTATGTCGTAAAGATGCTACAGTTACAAACTTCCATGGCTTATCCAATATTCGAACCTGTATCTAAGGATGAGAGAAATATTTACCTTGAGCTGACAATTGTATTTTCCGGAGCGGCTTGACTTGTAATCGAAACTGGGGATTAAGTTAGACGTGGGATTTCGTTTAAAATAACTCTAAAGGCACGTAAATGGTAAAGGTATGACCATATTAAATTAAGTCGCTTCCAATCAAAATTCATGCTCTCAGTTTGGAAGTTTAGTTTTATCAAGATAGGAATTTCTCAACCAGGGAAGAGTTCATCCCCTTGGGGGGATATCGTAGTTTCAGGTGGGGGATTTGTCAGCATTTCCTTTAGCTGTTAGGTATATAGATTTAGCTTATGCATATAAAAACTACTTTTATTCAAGTTTGGGTTTTATCAACATTTTATATACTTTTCGCTGCTTAATTTTTAAAACACATTGAAAATTATGTGTATGTAAATAAATATATATATATGTATTTTTGAATTTAGGAAAGGAGGCGGGGGGAATGATATTCTAGCGGTGGTGAAAGGGATGCATGGAACAAAAAGGTTTTCGAACTGCGGGATTAAGAGTATAATAATACAAGAGCCGCTTACAAATTAGCTAAATAATTTTACCCTTACTTTTTTGATTATATCATTATTGAATTTTTCAGGATAAACCAAAGCTTGATAACGAAGCCTTCTCTCTCAGAGAATTACAAGTAATCATTTAGAAATACAACTGGTGTTAAGTTCATATTGTCATCTATTAGCAGCTTTTCTTAAAACATAATCATTTAATATGCAATCCTTATCTATGTTCATATCACACCTTTAATAAGCATTTTGTTTTAGGACCCCTGCAATAAGCTTCTATTTTCTTTCCAGAGTGGTCATTATCAGATGTTGCTACCACAGCTTTCCACGAATTCTTTAGGATCCACAATGGATGTTCGATCAAGTCACCCTCGCTCCATGAAAAAATACGATCCTCTTCCTAACATCTGACACTGTGACGGAGGTGGAGAGACAATTTGTACAAAATTACACAAGAAGAAAAATCTTGATGTTTGGCACATGTATTATAATAAATAAATTGCTAATACCATATTTCTTTAGTGGCTCTTTCATACCTTTAAAAATGCCGCGTTTTAAACAATGCTTTTCTAAATGCTTTCTCTAATAATTACTTGGTTTCATATTACTACATATTCTGTTAATACGCAGTACCCTATAAAACTGTTACAGAGTTTTGATTGATCATTCCCGGTAAGGACAACAACAATTTTAACAGAACTTTCAATGATGTTTTCATTTAATAGTTTCGCTATCACAATTTACTTTAATCGTTCCATTTTACACTCGGAATTTCTTAGTGCCTGAACATCAAAAATCAATATATCATGCTTTTCTTTGGAATATCCTTAACAAAGTTTTAAGCAAAGAGTTTTATTCTTTTGAAAAGAATCATTTTAGAAGTTTTGAGTTAAAGCTTTTGTAATGGGGCATTCAAATACATTATGTATGGTATTGACTTCTAAATTTTTCATCATTCTTCCATAAAAATATATTATAATAGACAGAAAATTTCCAATCCCTGTGTTTGCATATTCACATATATGACGTAAAGGCATCTACTACGAAAAAGGCGAAATTATTAACATTTTTCCGTAAAAGTACATCGTAATAATTAGCATAACATACAATTTTGCTTTTCTGTATCCTCTGAAGTAATTCATACACAATGGCTGGAATTGCAAGGATTAATTATTTTATAATTTTATTATTAAAAAATAATATTGCGAAATTATTATAATAAAAGGAATTATAAAATATTATTTTCTGGTAGAACCATTCACCAACAATCATGGCTAGAGTACCAAGGGACGATGACAGCAAATAGCTTAAGCCTGTGGTAATATATAACTGGAGTTCTTTTGGAAAATCATGAAATCACTTGATAATCCGAAGATATTTTTGATATTTGTCGATTTTTATGAACATATTTTATTGCATAACATATCTGATTACATGGCACAGCACAGTTGGGGGAGGGGAATCTGCACCTCAGAATTTTAAACTACGCAATTACATTTTTTAAACAATGCAGAAGTATATCTTAGCGAAAAGACGCGATTTAGCAAGACAGTGCAAGCGGTGAAAGAATGAAGTCGGTCCCGAAACGAAGGGGGTTGTCTTTTAAATCAAATTAGAAATTCAAAGGTCTATTGCCAATTATGAGTCTTTTCTATTTAAGGTTTTATATATTCCTCCTCTTCAAGATAAAAAAAAAGTGCTTGGTGATAGAAAAGCATAAGAATGTAAGCAAATAAAGGAAATCTTATACTATATTTGCTGTTGCAATGAGAAAGCAAATAAATGGTTTCAAAGACTGTACGTTTCACTGTAAACCGTCATTTGGTTCTTAAAATTTCTGATATCTGAATATATAAAAACATATGAAATATAACTTAAAAATAAGAAAACAGAATATTATATGATATTTAAATTTCATTAGAATCCAGTTTGAAAGTCTGTATCTTGTAAAGTTCTTGAATTGCTAAATTTTCTAAATTTGGTGCCCAAAATAAAATTCCTGGAATTCAATTATTGGAGAGGTTATTTAATTATTTAATTCATTTGAGCTTCAGAATACAATTTGTGAAGAATATACTTTTAATTAATTAGAAAGCTCTAATGGTAACTTATCTATTTACATCTTGAGTTCAACAGAGTTCACAAGGAAACGCCTTTAACAGTAAATAAGAATTTGCTACAAGGATGCAAGCAACTTACGGTAAATTCGACTTGAAAAATAATTCATGTTTAATAAAAAGAAAAGAAATCTTATTGTAAGCTAAGTTAGAGAGAGAAACATCTGCATTTTTAGGTATTGGTTTGCAAAAGAAAACAAAAATAGTTTATGGTAGAAGCAGTAAATTTGGTTTTATGCAGCCAGCCCGTTCGCGGGATTCGAACCTCGCGACCAAACTACCAGTGTTCAGCGACTTTAACCGCTCGGCCGCTGGTGAGCGATATATACGTTGTGCTAAAAAAATTTGATGAATTATTGCCTGCTATGGTAGAAAAATTATAACCACAAATTTCCAAAACACTTTCAGAAATTAATTAACGAAATGATGATAAAACATATGACACAATATAGGAAAGATAAAATTTGTTTATTAAAAATCAAGCTGGAATAGTCTGAGCAAAATAGAAATTCTGGTACTCTGTGGAACCAGAATAAAGTATGAATGTTTATAGGAATTACATTTAGCTGACTAAGTCATAATAAAGGAAATAATAAAGGAATAATAATGCAATTGCGTGACACAAGGAAAATAAAAGCTGTAGTAAATGAATAAAATTTTTTGACTCTAAAATTAACTGAAGGTCCAGAAAGATTTTAAAAATCATCAGAAATTGAGCAAAATGAAAGACTGTATAATTGCTAAAGAAATAAAGGTGTTGAAATGATAAATTCACGCATCACTGAGGTGTAAAAAATTGTAATATTATGAACGCTTTTGGGATAATTCATGGGAAAAGGAAATGCATAATAAATAGTCAATATTATCACATAGTTGAACTAGAAATATACTTGTGTATTTCTATACATGTTTAATAATTAAAAGACATTTTAGTTGTCTTATAATTCATGGATTTTCAAACCAATAAAACACAAAAAGAGAAAATTTAAATAATCTTACTTCCAATTTTACACATGAAATATTTAATGCATGTCTTAAAAAATAATACAGAAAACATCACTTAATATGATTTATAAATCCACTAGCTATTGTGAGCCAAGCAAAATCACATTAAGCGAATGTAATAATCTGTGGGAATAATTATAATTTATCTAATAAACTACTACAGATTTAAAAAAGAATTGAATACAATAATTCCAACCAAGCAATGTGATACATTTCAAATCTTTCGCTATTATTACACGGTACCACGATATAACATATATACACTGGATTACGGCTGAAAACATTTTCCAATTAGCTTAAACAATTCTAGTAAAAAAAGAACCTAATACTATGTCTCGTGAGATATATATGGGAAATGAATAATCCAGGAGGTAAAGAGAGAGGCAAGGAAGAATGAAAAAGCGAAAAAGGGAAGAGTTTCTCTGTTTCTTGGGAGAGAAAGAGAATATTCCAGTTGAGCTGAAGATCCATGATAAGCAATATGAATTGTAAGAATATATTCACATCCTAAATGAGGAACGAAGGAGATAAGTGAAATGATGACATAAAACAGACACATGATAAATTATCCTGATTCACATAAGCCAATCAGAGAACCGGGAATGTGGGTGCAGTCCAAATACGAAGTTCCACCGAGAAAACTATCCATGGGCGACAAACTAAAATCCATTATATTGCGTTAAGTCATATACATGCCCGAACACGATCGAATTTCAGAAACACAAGACCACAATCTGTACACACAAACACTGAAATACTATATGCTATATACACAATGTACACTAAAACTTGAAAGCACACATTTTATAAGAGGGATCACCCTTCCACAAAGTCCATAAACAGTTTTCAAGTCAGTAGACAAGAAATTTGAAAACCCAGAGCTTAATTTTTAAGGAGTTGGAATGTAGAAATCTTTTCTGAGTGCTTCATATTCTACGTTACTGCAATAATTGACAAAGTTACTAATTTTTAACTTCATAAAGAATTTTCATTGGCACAATGTATTTTTGTACTGTTTGTCTTGATATGTTAATGTAATGCATGAATAAAGTATGGAGCTCCAGTCATTAACCTAAAAGTATTTATTCTATATAATCTGGGACAGTTCAATATCCCGTTTTGCAACGCATAAGTTACCATCGGAAGGATAATTGAGGTGAAGTAATGTGTTTTTCAATGAGGCTCAACGTTCAGTTTTTATCTAGGAAACCTTCAGCTTACTGATTACTGCTAAGACCTTTCCTCTAATATTTCTGATGAGTCTTGTCCACATAAAATGTCTGCTTAAGATAATCCTATTGACATTATCGAAAAGAAGAATATGCAATACTTTTCGGAAACATAACGGACTATTCCAGTGTAAAATGTGCCGCTTGATAACTGGTGGATATGTCTACCAACAAATGTAATAAAGTAACTCAGAAATATAATCTTACGCTATGGCAAGGAGAAAATTATTTTTGTATTAAGCTAATTAGTTGGAAGGTGCAACCAATTTTCATTATACTGATTTGAGTATATTTTAAAATAGAATGTTCAGAAAACTATTTGGAATAAAAGGATTTTTTTTAATTAACGCTTCTGGTTGGTTGGTTGGTTGAGTTTTTAATGGCACAGAACCTCGAGGGTTATTATGCGCCAGACAAATGGTGAATAAAATTCAAAACACACTATATCAAGGGAATTGATGAAATGTACCTGAGATACTGATGAAGGCATGGAGAAATGACTTTGAAATGTCCAGCCAGGTAGCAACAGGTAGATCAGGATAAAAGGGAAATAACTTCAAATCATGTGGTAAAAAGGGATGTCTTTTAAAAAACTTATGAGGATGATGTGGGGGTTTCTTCGAATGAGATGAAAGCATGAAGAAATGACTGAGAAATGTTCTAGTAACAGGTAGAGCAGGATAAAATGTAGTTCAAATCATATGGTATTTACGCTTCTGGTGTATGAGTCATTTATTGATTCATTATCAAAGTTATTTATCTATTTATCATTTGTTATGATATAGTATATCAGAATGAATATTCTGTGTCTTATCATTTACTTACGACTTCTATACGAAGGCAAACTTCCAGTGCTGAGAAATCACATTTTCACCCTTCAAAGATTACATCAGATATTACAAACTTTTCATTTTCGTCCAATTCATGCAACTTTAGTTTAGATAGATCACCGGAAAAATTATTACTGATCTTTATTCTAATCGTTTTATTATAAATTAGCAGCTACGCTGCTAGCTTTCGTCTGGCTTTTAAATGTACCGGGAAAATGCCTAAAGGGAATACCAAACTGCGCAGAATTTTACTCTTGTGAACAACTTTCTCAAAACAAAAATGTATTACATATAACAAAATTACAACGAAATAAGCAATATCCCTTAATACAAGTATTAATTAGCCTAATAAATAAATTAATTAACTTCTCGTTGCAAAATCTTAAGAATTCAATTATTAAAAAGGAAGTTAAAAACTTTGCTTCCTAAAAAAATCATGCAAAACTTTTTATATAATTCAAGTTATATATATAATTAAAGCATAGTATAAAAACATTACAATGAAATAAGCAATAAATCTCCATATTTTCAAGAGAAAACAGTCCGCAGTCCAATATTCAAAGCAATGCATGGAAAACTGTTGCCAAAACCACATTTCTAAAAGAATGGATCTATCATCAGAAAGCAATAACCAATCAAAATTGTGCTTTGTGGAGGACATAATTCAAAATATACAAGTAACAGTTTTAAAATTATAGTTTTTTCTACTTACTTTAACATAAAAAGGACATATACAGGTATATAGTATATAAAAGTTACATACATTGTCCTGTCATAGATACAGATAAAATACAAGGCGCACAGAAGAACATAACATTTCAAACTGATGCAACACGAAGAACACAGGACGGAGCCTAGTACATGTATTACTTATGGATAAAGCATACTCTACATGTACCGTTGGATTTTATGACTATGTATTAACAATTTGCATACTGTTAATTTAATGAAAGAACTTTGAATGTTATTACAACGTATGTATCCTGATTTATGTTAATGAGGATGGAAATTTATTTGCCTTGTTTCAGTGTCAAGTTTGCACGAGGTGGAATTATTCCATATATTGAAGCATAAATGTTAGCAATATTTTTAATGTTGGCACTAATCACTTTTGTTTCTTGGAAAGCGTTGTTTTTCCTTTCAAAATTTGTTCATGAGCTGCTACTGATCTTTTCAGGTGTTGCTGAATTGTCACAAGGTAGCTCAAGGTACGAAAGCCCCCTTTTCGCCTCAGTAGCACTGTGTGGTACTGAGTTTAAATCGGTGAAGATAAGGAAGAAGAGACTCATTTTCTGAGGAACTGAAGGACTTTCAATGTAGCCTTTCTAATACATGTAGTACGGTGCAGTATATCAATTCTAATGTTTTTAGTATCACTGGCTACCAGCTTACTACTACGTCAGCTTCTTCATTACTATGTAGTCTGAATGTATGTTTGAGCTCGAAAGAGTTTTGTAATGAAATGAGACGAATTGCTTTCATTAGCGGTCTTTTATCAAAGTGCCCGATAGTGGTTACAGAATAATGTTGCACCTTAAATTCAGTAGCATCATGGAGTAGAATGAGCATATCTTGAAATTCGGTGTTACAGAAACTCAATCTTATGTTTCTATTGGTCGAATAAATGTGTTACCTTGGAGGTGGCAAAAGCCACTGCTGGTACATTTCTTCGTTAAAATAATCGATATAAATATCGTCTATAAATTAATTGTGTCCAGTGTAGCAATGCGTAATTTTTGATAAAAAGAATTTTAAAGTATGCATAAATGCTTTTCGATTCTTGTAATCCTTGTGGTGTTCTCCCAAAGACTCAATGTAGTTTTGTGTATTCATTTTAGTTTAGTGACATTGATTATTGCCGCTTCTCTTTATGTTACCTAGTATAGAGCTTTGAGAATTCCTACAGGCATACCACTTATAAGACTTGTACTGTCATAACTTAAATTCTGTAAATTTTATTGTAAGGTATCACATGTTAAAATTTGTTGCAGTTTGAAAGCTTACTTCATCGCATCATTTCTTAAAGTAAAACTATGCGTTTACGAGTGATCATTCAAGGAATAGTTTGTTTGTTTGATGTTAATTTTTTGGAGGATACTGTTTTATGACAACAGTTAAAAGTAGCATATATATTAATTGTTTTCCAAAACGACGTGATAGTGGATTCGAATTAACTGAGCATCATCATATGCAAGCATGAATGTACGCTTAACGTCAGACGTACTTAAAAATGAGTTTAATACTAGCTTTCATATACGTATATCGTTATGAAATTTTCTGATTTTCAAAGACAATGCTGACATTAACCTTATCATAATAATTGCGTGGAGAATTTTGAACAACACATATAGGAGCTGATGAAACAGCTCTGATAATTTCATCAGCTCTGAAACTTTCATTTCATTATTCAAAGTAATCCACCTGCGCTAAAGCTATATTGCATCATTCCCAGCGTCCTGAAAACCATTTCATTCCTTCTTCAAAGAAAATGTTGGTTTAGTTTTGTATCCATTTTCTAATACTTTGATGACTCTGGGGAACCTTAATATCTAAATATGAACTGTTCTGAAGATGTGGCTCATGCTATATGCTCCGTACTTGTTTTCCATGCTATCTAAGAATCTGTGGTAGTTCTCGAACTAGTTCGAACTACCGAACATTATCTGACGAGCTGTGTACTGTCATCCATCTCCCACTTCCGAGCAAACAGATGACAGAATTCATACCAACGCTAAATCTATAGGCACTCATAAGAAATCATCATTACAAAAGGCACTCATAAGAAAGGTCTACGGCAGTCCCAGACACGGGTGATCTAGACCCTATCCTGGGAGACCATGGGTGATCTAGACACTATCCTGGGAGAACACGGATGATAAATCTATCCTGTATCTGTTATGATGTTACTTAATTTCTCCTTTTATTTAATTTCTCCTTTAACCCCTGTAACACTATGCAGTTTTTTTAACCATCTACCCAGTATTTCTCCTTTGCTTTGCTTGTTAAACTACAGTGGGAAGAGGATCCTAGCGCAGCGAGAAGCGTGGGGCAACACATGTCTAGCCATCAAAAGATGACTGCAAAATACTGGTGTCCCATCCTCCGTAACTTGCCCTCTGTCTAAGAATCTTAGTCCCAGTTCTTTTACTCGAACTTTTATGATGATATTTTATTCAACCGACTAAGGAAGTTCTTGTTTACTCATTACTTCGTAGATGTCCCATAAACTGTTAAGATTGAGCTACCACTGCACTACGAGTAAAATGTGATGATCGGAATATCAAGATATGTTATACGAAGGAATAATTCTTAACCGTGGAAATCTTTGGTTATGTATCCCCAACTATGGATTTTTACAGAAAGCCTACCTTTTCGTTTTGATGCAATTGTAATTGTTATGCAACGCGCTGTAAACTAAAAGATGTTATTTTGAGTCGTGATACTGTCATTATCAACACCAAAAAGTTATATTTTTTACTTTTATTTATTATTTTTTACATTATTTTGTTTAATTATTCATTAATATTTTGGGGGGGAACTGTCTTTTATGCTCGTGTATAATTGCTGAAAAGGTACAATGTTATTCATTATCCCCATGTTGCCCTTCTATTAGTAGGGTCTCTCTTTTCGTTAATGGATTCATTGTTATTTTGCGTATCTTCCATTTTCTTGCTGATCATTTCTCTCAGCTCTCTCTCCGAAAAGATAGATAACAGAGATGGTTCCAACACCTACATTCAACAAAATATTAATTTTAATAATATTGCTTCTAAAAGCATAAAAATTAAATGGTATTTTAGAAAATTAACGTAATATTATGTAATATGTAGAAAAGGAAGATTCATTGAATTTTCATGCATATAAGCTGAAGCAATTTTTATTCGCTAATGATTATAATTTTTCCCTTTAATTAATGTAAAATTATTCATTTATGTTTAACCAAGATTATAAAGCTCACACTTCGGTAAGGAAAGACGAAAACAATTGAATTGTAATACAAAGATATGAATTTTATTTGAAAGGCTTTACATTCATATGCATTTAGAAAGTTGATTTTGAATTATGTCCTAAAAATCTTTCGAAAATGCAGTCTAAAATTTTAGAGGAAATCTTATTTTGCTAATAAATGAAAGAAAACAAACAAATTGTATTTTTTTTTTTTTTTGCATTAAAAATTTAAGAGTTTATAAGGCTAGAGAGTCTTCTTCCATTTATAAATTAAATTTAATGTTATCTTTTTTATTTTTATGTAGTTATTATTCAGTATTCATTTATTAACTGAAATCCTATCGATAGGCAAAAGAAGCTAAAAAATATTGAAGTAATCTAAACAAAATAACAACTCATAACTTAAAATCAAATAGTAGATAGAGGCACGTCCCATGGCAATGTAGAAAACAGAAATACCTATTAAGTGATCGAATAACATATATAAACACGATGTTGAAAGCATTTAATGGAATGCCTCTTTAAGATTTCTGCTGTGTACGAAAGATATTCTAACAATACACATACAGAGTTTAAAATATTTTAATGAAGTTTAGTATGTCATTAATAATTGCAATTAAATGATAACAGAAATAATAATAATACTGCTGATTATCCAATATTATTTCAGTATTTATTAATTGTTGGCTAATTAATCTATAATTAACAGAAAAATTTACTCTTGTAAACACGCTTAAACAATTGTAAATAAATAAATTTATTACAAACTATTTAAGAAATAGATAGCCATTATTTATTTTTAGTAATACTGGTTGCTCAGTAGTAAAGTTATTGACTTATGGGAAATTAATTATTTTAATTTAAAGCCTAGAGTAAATAACTTATATATTAAAGGAATGCAGTTCTTTTCTTACGAATTTTATATTTATATTAAAACTGTATAATGAAGTATCATTTCAGGGAGTATAACCTCGATAGTATTTTGCAGAGGAATTAACTAAAGCAATTTGAAATAATTGGGTTCGTATAAAATAGAAATATCCCATTTTTGAACGCATTATAAGATTTTTGAATAATAAACTTAAAAGCATTTATTTTCTCATAATTTAAAATTTTAGCTTAAATTTACGCTTTAGTTTTTAGTTTTTATTTTAACTGTTCCTATTTAAATTACATAAAAGCCCTTTATATGCGTTAATTGCAGTCAAATGTTATATTTATGTGGAAGGTTTCGGATACTTAGCAACTAACCTTCTTTGATGCCCCCCCCCAAAAAAAAGCGTTTTTCACAAAATGAGAGAAATTCACTTTTCCTATATAAACCGCAAAATTTTCAAGTTTACCGAAATCTCTTATGCTTTCACTTTCAACAGCATTTTTTTACATTTGTTGCAATGAAATATTTAACTGGCAAAATTCAAGCAATGGAAACAGACTTCGAAATAAGGCTTGCTTTGCAAACAAATATACTAGGAACTTTACTTTTATAAAGTATACAACGAGAAGCCACACTCCATCTATAACAATGGGCTCGACCAAGAACAAAGCCACTGGCGTGCGGGACTGATGTTGGAGTATATAAAGCGGCTATGCATTCTCTTTCCAAACATAGCGGGATTAACGACATAATGGGAAAAGCAGCTGATTTATCAGACTTCGATAAAGGTCAAATTGTTATGGCTGGGTGACTGAGAACATCAAGATCAGAAACGGCGCGTTTAGTGGGCTGTTCACGTGCAGTTGCTGTGAGCACATATCGAAAGTGGTGTATGGATGGTAAAACGACAAGTCGCGGGCCAACAGTACCGTGGTCGACAGCGCATTGATTCCAGAGGAGAGCTGAGATTGCATTGTTCGCCGTGACCGAAGAGCTACTGTAGAGACATCAGGTTATTGAAGAGATGAAAAATGAGCAACGCCCTCGCCGGGAATCGAACCACGGGCCTCTGCAATACGCACCCAGCGTGCAGACCACCACACCATGAAGGCATACCAAAACGGTGGGAGACATACCTTACATACTTCCCCTTTTAAAGGGCGATTGTGGTTTTTACAGCACCCAGTCGCGAAATCCTGGATGTAGAGAATCATCATCCACCACCCTTTAGTTCAGGGGCTATTGCAGACACGGTTATTTCGAGGCCGGAAGATGAAAAATGAGCAAAGCCCTCGCCGAGAATCGAACCATGGACCTCTGGAATACACGCCCAGCGTGCAGACCACCACACTACGAAGGCATGCCAAGAAGGCGGGAGAAATACCTTATAATACAACAGCCGAAATCACCACCAGCTACAACAGTGACTACCCAGACAGTATTTCTTAACACACTGTGCAGCGTAAATTGCCCTCGTCTGCATATGGGAATACGCAGACAGGAGCCGAAACATGTCCCTGCACTGACGGCACGTAAACGCCAGCTGCGTCCTCGGTGGGCCAAGAAACATCGGAATTGGACATTAGAAGAATGGAAGAAAGTTGTATGGTGCGACGAATCACATTTTCTAGTCCATCACATCGACGGGAGTGTGCTAATGCGTGGCTTCTGGATGCCCATTTGGACGGAGACAAACCCCTGGCGTTGGTATTATGGTGCGGGTAATGTTTTCATGGAAGCGCATTGGACCTATAATCCCCACAGAACAATCCCTGACGTTTGTGCGCTACAAGAACATCGTTGCAGACAAGGTTCACTCACTCATGACAACAGTATTTCCGGCGGGGGATGGTGTTTAACAACAGGATAATGCACCATGTTATAAGGGGCGAATCGTTAGAGAGTGGTTCAAGGAACATTACAGAGACTTTAAAGTCATGTCTTGGCCTCCAAATTCACCTGTCATTAATCCAATAGAGCATTTGTGGTCCCACCTGGTAAACCAAATTCGTGCTGCCTCGCTACCTCCTCGCAATGTGAGGAAATTGCAAGACCTGTTGGTAAGTACTTGCTACTATATTACCTCAGACTACGTATCAGCACCTTGTGGTGTCAATGCCACGCTGGGTGCTGGCAGTTTTGAGGACTAAAGTTGGTCCTATATGTTATTAACAAGGTGGTCATAATATAATGGCTCTTAGGTGCATATTTATTTTCGAATTTTTAAAAGAAAGATTTTCTATTCTCTAAGAAAATTTTTTAAAAAGTTCATTAAAGTTCATTTAAACTATGAAATGAATGCTTTTCTAGCTTACTTGAATTTTGAATTAAGTAAATTCGATTAAATGGGCTTTTATCGTATTTCTATATCTTTCCTCAGTGAATGATATTTATCTTTATAAATCTTTGTTAATGAGATCCCCATAGACTATGTATTTACCAAATGTTCAGTTTCATTGACTGTTTTATGATAGATTTTAGTGCTAAAGTTATGTCCAAAAACTGTTTTTGCACAATGGTTCGAAGTGCAGCTATGAGGCAAGTTAATGCCGTTGTGGGGAAATAATTTACTGGGCTATAATTGTTTGAAAGAAATAAGAAAGAAAAATACTGCAATTTATAAGATAAATTTATAATTTATAAGAAAGAAAAATAATTGTTTGAAAGTAAGATGAGGATGGTTAACGAACGTGGTTGATGATGTAATAATATTTTAGAAACATACAGTTTATTATTAACATTTCATGAAATTATTTTGGAAAATAAAATTTCATTAGCAACTGAGTTCAAAGAATTGCAGAAATGTTAGGCATGACCTTGTTGATGCCTGTTCACAGCTTCAAATCCTATTAACTTAAATAAAAACTGAAAGTAGTAATTTTATATCCAACAGTCTCTGTCAAATAACTTCCATGTTTTAAGTAATTAATATATATAGTTTCAACCACTTGTTATTAACTTTTTATTACGTTATATTCATTTAATCATGTGAATTATGAATCTTGGATTATAAAAGTAAACGTAAAATGCGCGGCATTTAAAGTTTTTTTAGAAAAGCTGTTTAACAGTAAAATAAACGATACTTTTATTTATCCTGTGACAGATTTTGAGCTAAGCATCTTTAACTGATTAACGAACTGCAAGCCAAGTAATGAATTTCCTTAATATGCTTTTACTTTTAAGAAGCAGAATTTTATTTTCAATACACAATAATTTTAAATATACATTTACTTAATCTCTAGTATTTCAGTACAATTCTACAAAAATATTTAATTTAACAACCTAAGGAAATTCATCGACAAAATTAAATTTCCTGTGAGAAACTTAAGTACTCACCGAAATAAATCCTTTTCTGAATTCGTTCAGTTCAGGCAGACATTTTTCAGCTAATTTCCAGATAACTGCTTTTTCGATATAACTGAACTTATTCTCATCCGTGATGACGATTTTACTTCCATTCTGTATCAGTTCACTCTCGACTGTATGGGCATTCACTCTTTCCTTCATTGTAAAGGTCATTGAGATTTTCCGGCTGTTTACATTGTTATCCTTCAGCCATTTCAGTCTTTGGTATAACAGTGGGTCGATTTCTTTCAGGTCAAGCATAGTTATAGGCCTAAAATTAAAACGGTCACTCAAATATAAGATCTAAAATATGCGAAATGGAGGAAACTGTAAAATTAAATGGAAATCTTTAGCTGTTTCGCATTATATTTCGTACTTTTATGTTTAGATAGATATATTGTTAGTTGTTAACATGCCGCCATTAGAATGTTTAAATGATTCACAAGTAGACACATATAGCACTGAATATAATACAAATTACATATTACATTAAAATATTTTTAAGTATTATTATTTACTTAAAAGAAATTGTAGTATGATAATGCAGACGCTCATATATACTGCACAATCTTTACAAATTTTCTAGGTTGTATGCATATTACTTACTTGCATCCCTTGTAGAAACTTCAATGAAATCTTGCTAAATCACTATGAAATAGATATTTCGGAATTATTTGAATACATGTGGTTCCTATTAGACATGGAACATACAAACATACAAATCCTTGAGTAATCTTGGAAAAAATCCGAAATTTTAGAATTCGTGTCTTAACATTTTATCAATCGAGCTTTTTTTTTTTTTTTTTTTTTTTTTTTTTTTGTAACATAAAAAAGCATTGATTAATGCAACTCAGAAATGTGTAAAGTTTAGTTTCATTCATTCCCATTAAAAGCCTTTAATAAAAAATAATGCTATTCCTGTAAATTTCCTTAGAATTGGATCATCAGTAATTGCCCACGTAACCACGTAACAGCCCCATTCTGTTTGGAATTCGTAACGGCCTCATTCTTAATTTTGTTTGGAAAGAATTGTGATTTTTAAGTTTAATAGTGTTCACATTGAAATAATCTGTGTTCACATTGAAATAATTCTCTGTACTCTACATGTATTTGATTTAAAATAATTGCATCGCTTTCTCATGAAAATTGGCAGAGTTACTTTATTTTCGAAGGATTTACACTGAGAAAATAAGCTCCATATTCAAAAGTTATTATTGTTATTCAATTTATTAAGTTCCATCTGTATGTTCTTTGTAAATGTAGGGCTTATTTAACTAAATTGTTATTAAATTTGTTCTTCATTAAACACAAAATTTAAATTCTGCTTTAATTAAAGTTTAACATTAAGAAACTATTTTTTCCTTGCTATTTTTATTGTTCTATGAAAAATTCGGAAGCTTCGAAAATCCTTTTAGGATCAGGACATGGATTCCAGAAGATTTAGTATGCGTCTCATCTCTAGCTCCTGAAATAACCATTTTATAGTCAAAAATTAAATACAACCTATCAGTCCTAACAAAATCATCAAAAATTTGTTTCCCTTTTTTGCTTTTGGATCAAAAGGAAAGACAACGTTCAATATAATGCGTGTTCACCTGAAACATACACAGACTACCAATAAGTATTTGGACACCTGTGATAGAAAACTAACTTTATTCAAAATCAATAGTTGGTAGAGCTTCCACGAGACGTAATTACAGCATGGACCCTCCGGGGCATACTTTCCACAAGTCTTTGTATGACAGCTAGTGGTATTTTCTTCCACTCGGCTTGGAGAAGAAGACATAGAAGTTCCTTCACCGATTTTGCACGGGTAGTGCACCCCTGAATTCGGGGATGCAACTCGTCCCAGAGGTTCTCGATAGGGTTCAGGTCTGGACTCTGGCAGGCCAGTCAATCAATTCGATGAACTCCATTGGCACCATTCCAAGCCTTGGTTACGTCGAAACATGACAACTGGCATGGTCGTCCTGAAATTAACAGGGTCCAACCCGTAAAACTGCCACAACGTAGGAAGCACATTGTCATCCAAATAGTGCAGTAGGCATCGGAGTTGAGCTTTTCCATGAATGGAGACCAAGGTCCCAGCCCACACCAGGAGAAACACCCCAGACCATAATTACACCTTCGCCGAACTTGACTGTTGGCACAATGCATTCTGGCAGGAGACGTTCTCCAGGTAGACGCCAGACCCATACCCTGCCATTCGAACGGTAAAGAGTGAACCTTGATTCGTCACCCCAAAGAACCCGTTTCCACTGATCTACGGTCCAATTTCGATGTGCTTTGCACCACATTAACCGAGCAGCGCGGTTGGACTTTGTGATCAAAGGCTTATGGACAGAAGCACGACCATGAAAACCAAGCAGGTGGGCTTCCTTAAGGATGGTATTCATTGAAACAATACTCCCGGATGCCTGTTGAAACTCCTCGCGGATGAGGGCCATCGGTTGGAGGCGGTTCTTCCGAATTTCTCTGGACAGCACTCGTCGGTCTCTATCTCCCATTTTCATTGGTCTGCCGACTCGGGCACATTCCGACAATCACCGCTCACCTTCCACTTCTTAATTACATAGGCCTTGTCGATTTTGGGTACTTCAGATCGCTAGATATGTCCCTTAAGAATCGGCCACATTTGTGATACCCGATAATTATACCCTTTCTCGAAATCAGACAGCTTCCGAACTGCGAGGCATCTTGCATGCGACTGAAGCCGATGCTGTTTCCTACATGATAAATACCGGCGGACTCCGTGACCTACCTTAGGACCGCAGATATCGTCATTTGCATAGGTGTCCAAATGCTTATTGGTAGTCAGTGTAACTCTTAATGATGAAACGCAGTAAAAACTGAAGTTTCCTTCTAACGCGTCAAAAATCGCTGATAATTATTAATTCGGTGAAGCAGCGAAACGTTCTTGGTCAGTAATATCTGTAAATATCAGAAAATCGAACTTCGTTCTGTGATTAAATTCTTCATAAAATAAGATATCAAATAGTAAATACTTATGAATGCACAATTGCAGTCTCTAATAATAATCCAACTTCCTATGTCATCTTCAAAATTTCAGCTGCCATGTGTTGTCAGAGAATAAAGCCATTCGAAGATGATCTTATACAATGCCGTAATGTAGACTTAACCAAAGAAGAAATATGCACGAAGGTCGACGAATATATGATGGGCTACTTGACGAATGATAGTTTTTCTTATTACAACAATGATGGACACCGGTGTTCATCATTAGATGCATAAAATTCTGTATGTATTGTAAAGGTGTCTCGAGCGTTTATCCAGAAATGAAGAAACCCAGACTGATTAATCTCGAAAAATACTCTCTGTGATTAAACTCCTGTGAAAGTAAATTTTGTTTAGAGCTATCGATGGTATGGATAAACCACTGTGACTTGAAAATGAAAGAAGATAACGGAATATGACGAAGCACAGTAGATATTCTCGAAACTTGTAAATTCCGAACACAGAAGTTTGGTCCAGGGATATTGCCAACAATTGTTTGTAATAAATAGGAGTCATTGATGATTAACTATTTGCTGGATAGCACTATGAAAATTAAATATATATAACGCCAACGTTTTAGTTCTACTCCGATTGGCCGAGGTAGCAGAAACTCAGAGGCAAAATGTTATTTTCACATCATAACGCAGCCATATGCATATGAACTATGTTTACCTGACATATACTAAGCAATCGAATTTCAGATTCTTTCACAGATTACTAAGTTCATCATGCTTGATGTAATTTTCGTAAACTTGTGAAACATTTTCTACCTTTAAACGAAAAGTTACTGCCTCTGAACAGAAATAACAAGGAAAAGGAAAACTTGCCTCTTATTTCGTTGATATAAGAATTAACATTTACAGTTATAAACAAATTATTTGTGATTTAAGACCCTAAGACTTTGTAACGAAAAATGATTTGTGTTTTACACTACACTTGACAAAATTGAAGATACCCATAAAATTAGCACTTTGCGTAGGTGTAGTAGAGGTGAGGTTTAAAAAGACAATAACTCTCCAGCTATGCCAACTCTCGGCATCCCAAGTTCTAGGTTAGGTTAGATTATTTGAGAATGGCATAACACTTGGAACAATCTGTCTAAGGGTGGAGGGCTTTCTAGAGTAAATTGTCTCGTATTCGTGTTACTCATGATAAAAATACGAAATACAGCAGTGCAATCAACTCGTTTGCCTGGAACCAAGCCTGGGTCGAAATTCCGGCATTCAGCGCTCTTTCCACTCTGCCAATTATGGAAGCCTCCTAAAATTAAATTTGCTCATAATTAATTTACATTTAAATATTTTTTCTTTGGTGTAAAAAAGAAAAGAATTGACCTTCTTCAACGCTTCGATAAATAATTATGTTATTAAAAACTGGGAATTTAAAAAATTTTGCAGCAAGTATCTGATTGTTAATTTCGTTATTATTCAGCGATAAAAGCTATCATAATTTAATATTGATAGTTACATGTTTTATTTTGAGTAAATAAAAATAATTAGTATTTCATTTCAATCAAAATAAAAATGGATTGGGGGTTACCTTCGCTCTTAAATGCTACTGAAAAGTTAATTAAAACTTTACTTTTTTAGTTTACTGAGCTAAAATTACTTTTAGTAAAAATAATATAGCCTTTGCTGGAAAAAGAGGAAAATTGAAAACTGATACTTTTTTTGCTTGATAAATGCCTACCCGATATGCAAGACAGCGACGGTACTTCGAATATCCAGATCACTTGCAACTTCATTTAAAAGTAGACCTTTCTGATGTTGTAAATTTTGGATATTGTTTAGAGTTCTGCCAAACCTGCCATCCGCGGGTTTTGCTTCGCTAGTAGTAAATCATTAACTTCATGTGCAAGTAATGGCTATGCTCTCAGACATTATTTAATGCTTCATTAAAGCAATTTTGAACTTTATTGAAGTAATTATTTAGATAAAAAAACTACCAATGCAATTTCTTCAGAGTTTCAAAGACTAAATTTGAAGTAGCATATTTAAGATAAATATTTCTTTCTCATTTAACGACAAATACGAATGCTTTAAAATCAACAATAAAATCTAACCTAACGTCCACCTATATGCTCACCACAAAGTCAATTTATTGCCGACTCTTTTTGATGTGACAAAATCCTTGAAATTTGAAAATATCTCTCATGGTTTCAAAGGAAAAAGATGCTAGCAAGTGAAAGGCTCACTTAGAAATGATTTCCAAGTTTAAATCTAATGATGAGATTATGCTGCGAGCAAAGACAAAGTAAAGTAACTAGGAGGTATAGCCTCTATTTTGCATTATAAAGTTCGTTGTCATTATCCGAGCTATGATTTTGTTTCTTACTTTTCTTTTCGTGAGAAGGCATACGAGAACCATAAATAATTATATCTGATAAAAATATATTTATTACTCTATGAAAACATATTAGTTACTCAGCATAATGTAAATTCACAAAGTGATTAAAGACTAACATAATAATAACGCATTAAGGGAATAAAGAAAATATTAATTATTATCGTGAACATCTAGGTAATAAAGTGACAAAATTCATTTCTTAAGATATGTAATAAAAGTTAAATTGTGAATCAAAAAACAACAAAATTTTAGTTTTTGTTGTTCTACACTCTTATAATTACAAGTCACAGATGTAAATGAATATTTTATTTATTGTAAATTATGTGGATTTTTTATGCTTATTGTTTTTAATTTGTAGTAGGGATGCTAATCTTAATACAGTTTAAGGGTATCTAGAACACTTAGAAAAGCTATGGGTTTAAAAAGTAGACATTATTAAGCTGTGATTGGACTGTTATAACTTTCAATAATTTTTATTATGCACTTTAAAAAATAAGAACTGAATCACCTATGTAATTAATTTCGTAAATCTTTGTCACATTATATTATATAATTTAAATTAAATATTATTATATAATTTAAATTAAAGGTTTTACGGCGTAGCGTTATTTTAACCTAAAATTTGCAATATTTCATTACATTAATATTATCTATAAGTATGAATCATCATTGAGTGCACAGACACACACACGGTTGTTCCTAATTAAGAAAGTTTCCTGCATCATTTGCTTAGTTTGTAGAGACATTAGGTTTTTTTTTTGGCGGGGGGAAGTAGAAGATGTGAAAAATGAGCAATGCCTTCGCCGGGTCTCAAACCACGGACCTCTCGAATACGCGCCGAGTGTGCTAACCATTTCCCCATGAAGGCATGCTAAGATGTTGGGAGAAATACCTTATATAACCCCCTTTTAAAGGACGACTAGGGATTAGGGGACCCAATCGCCAGATCCTCGTAGTGAAGAATCATCATCCACCACTGTTTTCAGTTCGGGCGCCACTGTAGAGACATTAGGTTTTTTTGGAAGCAGGAGAGAGGAAAAATGAGCAGTGCTCTCGCTGGGACTCGAACTTCGGACCTCTCAAAATACGTCCCGAATGTGCTGGACGTTACATCACAGAGGCGTGATAAGAAGGCCCGGAGAAATACCTTATAAGTTCATAAATAATTACCTGTCCAGTAAGCCCTTGAACAGACACAGTGGAAGCTTAGTTTCAATGCGCTTCTGGTGCAAAATACAGAGTGCGAGTACCTTTCCGGCAAATTCAAACCACTGCAAAAGATATGAAGTGTGAGGATTGAAATAGACATACTGCGTTTCATCACTCGGAAAGTCAAATAACTGGAGATATTTTGGAGTATAGAGTTGATTTGACAACATATCGAAAAGCTCGTCAGTGTCATCTTGGTGCTCAAAGAGTTCCTTTTGCGTACTTATGTCTTCTGAACTAAAATAGAAAGCATAAATACGTTACGATTAAAAATTCATGTAAGCATTATACTTTTTTAAAAACACTTAGTTTTGAATATTCTCTTTACTCTGAAAAAGACCTGAGTATGGATTTGTGGTTTTAATATATTTTTAGTATTAGTATTTTAAAATTATTCCAAAGGTGCAGTTTGAGCAGAAGGAATATTAATTTCGTTTTGGCATTTTGCGTCGATTTACGATAAACGTTGTTTCACTTTTCAGATTGTTACCACAAAATATTATCGCTCTGTATTACATTTAAAGAAATTAAATAATGAAGAATTTGCATGAATGTATGTATGTATCTCACATTGTGATAAAACAACGGTACCTAGAGCCATCAAAATTTGAATAACGTAATCTTCCATAGAATATGGGCATGTGGAAACCCTAATTCAAATTTGAAACTTGTTTTATTATCGATTTCATATATTGTAACACTTCAACAAATTTATGATTAACAAATAAACGATTTCAAAGCAAGCAATGGCAACACTGTACGAAAAAAAAACATTTTTGTCTTCCCCCGCGGAAGTCTCTGTATCGAAAATTCTAAAGATATGCTCATTTTAAAACTACTTTGCGATATTGCTGTTGAACTGAATTTTACGGTTTAAGAGCGAAGAACTGATAGTTAACAAATAAAAGTAACACACAGAATATTAAAAAAACGGCCCTTTGGATGTAATTTAAAATCTGAAACCTTTCAGCTTTTTGTTTTATTTGTGGTTTTAGTATTTTGTGGTTGTGTATATTTGTGTTACTAGTATTTATTGAGTATACTTGTGGTTTTAATACTGTAGCACATTTGTATTCATTTATGTTAATTAAACAGATCTAGACTTTTACTAATCACTTCTTCCTTCCGTTTTCTCGCCAGAATGCAAATTAGTTCGCCTGTATTATAAAGATGAGTTTTTTTTAGATTGTAAGACAGAACGCGTTCTGCCTCTCGAGGACACGTTACAGATTGCTAGCTCAGATAAGATTTTCAGTCTTCGGCCTTGCATTATATTTGCCTATACTGAGTCTCTGCGTCGGTTAGATTGTAAGCCAATTTCGCGTTAAATTGACCTGTGTGATCTGTAAACATCAGATGTGCCTTCTGTTCTGCCGAACCATTTTCAAATTTCAGTTGTTATATTAGACATAGCGTTAACCGGCTATCTAAAGTTTGGTTACAATTTATGATAAACAAAAATATTAATAAACTTTACTAGTATATTTATAGTTTTAGTATATGGTATAATTTTAATAAATTTTCTCTATCTTTAAACGAGTAAATAAAACTTCAAGCTTTCGTAATTCCCTATTAATTTGATGACAAAATGAACTGATAAGTAATCGTACGATTAATAAAAGTAGATTAATAACTACGATAAACATTTAACTCGTAATTAATGCAAATATACATCAGATGTTTCGATTTTACATTTTAGAGTTAGGGATAATCGGGCCTATATACATATTTTTTTAGGAAGGGAAACTTATGGCAGGCTTTAAAGTAATGTGAAGTATTCGGATAATTTTGTTAACCACATCGTTTGTAGAAACGATAATTTTATTTTAAAAAAATACTCCGTTCGTAACCCTTTGTTGCATCATGTCCGCTCTAGTAGACAAAAGTTTAAATTTGTTTATTCTTCTGTAGATTCCATTCCTGTGTTTATTCATTCTATATTATTAGAACATTCAACTGTCGATTATAGATGGCTGTATAGCGTCACTAAGTAAAGCATTGCTATTAGGAAAATGGCTGCTACTTCTTTTTCCAAGTTAGTACAATTTCTCATAGTAAATATTATATAATATTGCTTACATTTTCTTACACTACCATTTTTTATTCAATAATTAGTAATTTTAGACATTTTATTTTAAATGTTAGTTTGAGAAAATTGTGGAGTGGGTAGATAAAGATCTTCCGAAAAGAGGGAATTGAAACCTAAATGTACTGTTTATCAAGCCAAAACACCACTGGAAATGTTTATGTCTGGCAAGGAATTTCTAGAACATTTGACATTTCAATCCAATAGGTACAGATTACAAAATCGTAGCAAAATGAATTCAATCACAATCGACGAAATGAAAGTATTTTGGAGGATCTGTATGGACATGTCAGTTGTAGATTTACCATTTAGAAGATGGTAATGATCACTGCAAACAAGGCAGGAATTGATTTCAAATGCAATGACTGTAAATCGTTGGGAAGAGATTTGTATGCATGTACATATATACATGCTGTCCACTGTAGTGAACAAACTGCAGCAATTATTTAAAACGAAATTTGAATAAAATTAGTTTTTTTATTATTACTAAGGTTATTTTAAGTAGAAAAAATACAAACATTTTCGTTTAACTTCTCTACATTATTTGTATGCAACAAAGGGTTAAGTTATAAAACGACTTTTTTTGGTTATTTTCCATTTCATTTTTTGAATATATAATAATACGTTCTACATTTTGAAATATTCTTTTTGTTTAATAAAACATTTAGTGCGCTTCATTTTTCATTCATAATTAGCTAAAATCTTTCAAATTAAATTTAGCAATTCCAATATTTACTAAATTCAGCATCATTAACGAACTGTTCTTAAATTAATTTAATAAGTGAAAATAAGATTATTTATTCCATGTGAATGTATTGTAATTTTAATTTTGTCGAAAATAGTAAATTAGAACTCATTCGCAAATGTGATTAAATAGAAAATTTCTTCTAACTGAAATGTAATTCAGTCTTAAATTGTTGTTGATTCTTATAGATGGTTTTCGAAGAAGAAACCATTCTGCATGACCTTTTCGATTCTCAAATAGGAGGGACCCGATCCAAACGTTTTGAAGTGAAAAGATTATTTTTGTAAAACCAAAGCCAACTAATAATTGGACTGAATTTGTTTCATTTTAAAATTGAAACAAGTGTACTTTTCTTCCATATGTTAGATTGATGTTTGGTAATAAAACTCTACCACATCACAGAAATGTTCATTACATAAGACAAATTTGCTCAGTGTCAGTTTGAGCAATAGGATTGTTGTTTACATGTGTAAATATTCTCTGCACATGAGAGATATACAGCAGATTTTCTCAACAATACCTTGTACACATATCTGGGTCAGAGTTGGGTTAATTCACCCCGTAACTCATTCAGAGAACCGAGTCACTTTACTGAGCTGAGCGAATTAATTTCGCTTCCAGAAAACGGAGCTGTTGCTCTTTTACACTTTCCGAAGAGCTCTTGTTGGAAGCGTGCCAGGAATAGAGGTCTGGTATTTGTTCCCGAAATTAGTCATTCTACTGAGAGAGCGAACGTCTGATTGGCGAAAAAGGAATTGAGAGTGAAGTGAATGTTTATTATCCGTGTTAAATTAGCTTAATTTATATAATTTCCTAACTTTCTGAAAAGATTTTGTTCTAGAATTTTATTTTTAGTTTTGTGTAGAAAAGAGGTTTTATGGAATCTCAAAACTACGGTTGAAAGAAATCAGTTTAGAAAATTAGCGTTTGGTTGAGTCAATTCTTTCTACTACTGTTCTTGTTCGATTCTTTTCGCTCTGCGCTACAACCTCGCTAACCGATCCCGATTCCACTGCTTGCTCGATTCTTTCCGCTCTTTGCTTTATCCTCGCTAGCCATCATCCGTTTATCCATCGTTCCGGGTATTTTTCATCAAGGTTATTGTTGGTGAAAGGTGAGTCTTAAAAAAGAAACGATTCATTTCAGTGAGAGACCCGTTCTGACCCGACGCCATTAAACAGCGGTTTTGTCCATCTCTACTCTAGAATCACGGAAGCATTTTAAAATCTTATGTTTTGGCAAAGTTTTTAAATCTGTCAGATATAACAATTAATTAAATAAAATGGAGCTTTAAATACTTCATAAAAATTCTTTGAGAAGCGATAGTTTTCGTCTTACCTCCGCACTACAGAAATATATCTTTCTGCACTTTTTAAGGAAATGTTACCATTTTTTTAAATAAATTTTGTTTAAGCATTTTTTAAATCACTTTTCAGTTTAGAAAAACTTTAATCGTGCGTTTTTAAAGGGAATCGCATGATTTGCTTATATATTCTTCATTAATGAAACTTAAAAATTTGCACTTTATACTATAAGCGATAACCATACTTAAAGTAATACTTACAAACATTACAAATACTAAAGTTTATTCACTGATATTTACTCTAATAATTTAACAACATACATGTCAGGGAAGAAAATGAACGATTTAAAAGCTTCCTTAAATCAGACTGTTGTCAACTGGTATGATGGTTTTACATATTCAGATGTTTACTGTTACCAAATAATCAAAAATTTAATTTGAAGGAATATGTATACAAGTATTAACGAGAGTAATTGATTCAAAAGGAGAATTTTATGGTGTTACTCAATCTGGTAAATGAATTTTGTTGCTCATTTTGAAAACTAATCCAGTATGCTGATTTTGTTTAATTGTGTTACTCTTAAAAGCACAGTTTTTTTTCGGGGGGGGATACATGTTCTGAGAAATAGAGGAAACATATTTAATTATTCAATAACTGTAAATCTAGTGTGTTATGCACACATAAGTAACTGCAGTTGATTTATTTATGATATATATAGTGTATATTTTATGCAAATTATCGAACTGTTCTCCGTTCTGAAGAAAAATACCTGATTTTTTTAGTTTAAAATTGAATTCATAATTAAGACTGAAGTATGTTTTCGAGAAACTTGTTTGGGGAAAATGTTTTAGGGGATTCCTTTGCAGGGAGTATTTCAAATATATTATTTGATTCGGCGCTTAGAGCAGTTTCAGCATTCGAATTAAAGAAATGTTGAATGGGAGAGATAAAAAACCCTTAAATTTATATAATCTCCATTATGTTTCGTCCCATTATTTCTAATTTAGCAACTGCTTTATTTTGATTTGCTCAGCATTATATGTCGACAAATTTTCTTTATTACGAGTGCTTTGCAATAGTACTTGCATCGTAAATTTTTTTTTTCATTACCTTAAGCTCCACACTATTTCTTTTCACAGCTTTATTTTAATCCATTTTTATGTTAATTACCTTTTCCCAGTCATAAAGCAGTTCTTTTTCATGATGTTAAATAATTATTTACTAACGTTATGTGAGAAAAGCACTAAATGTCTCAAAGTATATTCTAAGAGATTTGACGAAACCTAAGTTTTTTTAAATCCACCTTCTAAAAAGCTTTCGTATCCTTTGAGACTCTCGAAACTTTCGGAGCATTTATATAACAAAAAAAGTAAAATGTTTTATATAATAATGAAAATTATAATATAAAGCAAAATTTCAAAATTGCGTTTAATGTAGATCATTTTTTAAATTCAGTTTTTAAAATGTTCATAAAAAGGCATTAAGACAATATAAATCAAATTTAATAAAAGAAATATCTAATTAAAACTTTTTAATCTTAAATGTGGAGGTTTATATTTTCAATATAGTTTTATAATAAATATTTAAGCAATAATTAAGATTTTTTATTTTTCCAGAGAATATTTTTAATTAAACCGAAATTAAAGAGTAGATTGTTATTTTAAATGTTAAAGAAAAATAAACGCTGTATGTGGTTCAGCGCTATTCTAAATGACAACTCCTAGAACCCTGAACAAAGATAGACGACTCGTCACTCATTTTTATTTTCTAAAATATGGTAAACATAAGGTCGGATGAAGGATTTAGATAAACCTCTTAATTCCCTCTTCAGCTAAAGGTTACATACACTGGTGTGCAAAATTAAGCCTTCGAATGATCTTCTTGCTGGAAAAGAGCCTTCGATGATCTTCTTGCTTACTTAACATGCTCTGCTTCGAAGCGAAATCGCTTAAAAGTATTTAAGTTCATCGTCTTTATGATTAACTTTCGAAATTTTGGGTGCGACAATTAATTTTTAGCATATACCTAAGAAACTAAAAGAATTATAAACGAAACTGAAAAAAAAAATTCCCCAGTTAAATAAAAAAGTGCACATAAAGTTTTTATTACAATTTTTAAAGTTCATCAGTGAAGTAAAAAAATTTAAATAACGTCTTTAGAAAATAAATTGATAAATTTATAACTATAGTAGCTTATACTTTAAAAAAAAGGAAATTCGATTATTAGATTTCGTTATTAGGGGCCCACACGTTTATGATTCATGATACAAAACTGTAAAGAAGTTTTGTAAAGCGAATGGTTTAAACTCTCCCATTAAATTCCATTAAACTATACCATAAATTACTTTCCTAATTTTTAGTGCATTAACTATTTTATAAGTTTGTATAAAAGTTTATTTTATAAAAATGTTTTTATTATTTACTTCTTTTCAGTCTGTCTTACACGTTATCAATCAAATTTTTCAACTTAAACCTCGTTTATCAGCAATAAATACTAATTTTTAGTTCAAGTAATTCTAATAATTTTCTTACTATTTACAAACTTATTATAAATAAATAAAAATAAAATAATAAATAAATATTCTATATTTATTTAAATAAAAAGATCTATTATTTACAACTAAATAAAATCTATTATTTACAACTTTATATTAAAATGTATGTATATTATCTGTGATTAAATAAGCATGGCAGTTCGATGGTTGGCCACTAAGGCGACTAATTCAAAAACCAATTTTAAAATGTGTTTTTCCATAACAGCAATAATTTTTTATCATTCTTATTTTAAAAGAGGATGAGAGTTTGTTTCAAAACCTGTGAGATATCTAAATCTTCATAGAAAACAGAATTTTGGATGCTAAAAACTTAAAGTTCTGTAACAGATAAATAATATTAAATGAAATAATGAGACAAATATATATAAATTCATATAACGTGAAAAATAAAAAATTATATGACAAATCTTATTGCAAAAAATTTTAAATGTTAATTAATTGTAAAATCTGTTTCCATTTTTTACTGTTTATAGATTAATAAAAAGAAAAGAAGAGTAAATGCAAAATCTATCTGTAAAGTAAGGGGGGCAAGAATTAGCGTTTAGAAAACGACAGAAAATTTGTATAATTCTTTTCAAGTAGTTCTTCCTAGCAAGCGGGGGTTAATAATAAATAAATCAAATGAATTTATACAGAAGCAAGAACAAAAGTGACATACAATGACATTGTTCAAAACACTAAACGAAATAGGGAACGCCAACGGAAGAACAGTAATTTCAGCTTTTGTTAAACGTCTGCAGTATATAATATATATGTAGGAAATTGCCGAGCTGATAAGCTAATACAATTTTACTATTCCTATTTTAAATTAGGGCGAAGAGTTTGATTTATAAATTTTGCCCATTTCAAAACTTTAGATAAGACATATTTTTAGATGTTGAAATTTAAAAAGTAACAGATGACAAATACTCGAAAAAGATTGAGTAAATTTCGAAAACTTGCAAACAAAAAATCAAAAATTGCGTTAAAAATTTTCTATTTTTCTATAAATTTCATCATTTCATTTATAAGATCATTTCATGCAACAGTAAAATTCTGAGGACTTTAGATTGTTTGTAAAAAATGTCCACAATAAGTCGTTTCAACATTAAATTAAAAAAAAGTCTCGATGAAATTTTTAGAAATTATTTTTACTCCATTGTATTATCATCCGCGAAATTTGAAATTCATAGATTATCAGGAAATACCTGAAAAATCGATGACAAACTTTCGACCATAGCGATAAACATTACGGTGAGCTAAATGAAAACTTATGACAAAAAGCAGCAGAATTTTTATCATATGAGGATGATAGATAGACTAAACAGAATCTCACACAAAGATTAAGCCCTACTTTCAGCAGGGCTCGGATGGTTTTGACTTACCTGTCATTGTCGATCAGGATCACTTTCAGACAGCGATAGTAATTGAGAGGAATTCTCGAAGGCGTCATGAAGATGTCAAACGCGTCTTGAAGAAAGCATTCCCGTCGGACTCGAATGCTAAAAAAAAATAATACTGCAATAAATGTTCTTTTTTTTGGGGGGAGGAGAAGTAACGGACTTTAAACTTTTTTTCATCTTATATATACATCTACAACTTCTCAGAATTATTGTGTCTGAACTCTGGCATTTATTTTTAAACAATAGCATTTTCCATAACAGCAGTTATACCGAAATATTGTTTTTAAAAAACATTTGTAATGTGTAATTCACATATAAATGTGCTTTCCGAACAAAGCAAATTACTATTGAAAACATTCGTAAAGGAAGTAATTTAAGAATTTAAATAATTACTTCTCGATGTTTTGAATGAAATGCTTATTGTCAGTATATTTTGGACCACTTTTAGGTAGGTTTTTTAAGTTGTGTAGTGAAATTAGAGTCCGAAATTCTAGAAGTAATTTCTTTAATTCTAAGCCTGGGACTTACATAAGCGGTGGACCTTCGCCATATCCGTGTTTGTGTAAGTCATCAAAAAAGATCCACAGTTTATTCATGAAGTTCCAGTCCTTTGCTGTCACTAGATTCATGCCCATTATATCAGGTTCTGAAGCAGAGGCTTTAAAAATAAAAAATGGCTTTAATAATGCCCTCACTTACATACAGAAAATGATAAGATGAATTGTATTTATTACACAAAACATAGAAACTTACTTGAACGAAACCTGATGTATAACCCTTCGAAGTGATCTCTTCGGCTTTTATGTTCCGAACCGTGCACTTGCCCTCTGACTGGAAGACTTCTTAAATGCCCTTTCATTGCGTTATGTCTCGCACCATCTGATATGCGGCTTAAACATTCTTTTAAATTATCACAGGGTTGAGGAATTTGATTAATAAATAATATACTGGGGAAGAAGCAACAGGCCTTCAAATTCAGAAAAATAAGAAAGGCTAAAGATATTTTCAGTATGAAAGCGACTATGAGATAAATCATTCGTACAATCAACTCAGCGTTTTATTCTGAAATTTAGAGGCGATCAAGCCGTTCTGATCAGTATGATGGTTAACAATGTTAGCTCATTTATCAATGGGCCCTGAATCTGGGTTGGAAAATCTGAATAAGGGTTGGATGTTTGCGAGTGTGTGCGGCATGGAGTCTTTGCGCAGTGTCTTTGCGGCATGGAGACACTTAAGATATATGGCAAGTTAAAAGTCCTCTCGAGTGATTTGGTAGTAAAGGAAGAGGCGTAGAAAACTCTTGGATTTTCCCCAGGGGGACTTTCCTACAAACTTTTTTAAATCAGTAAGTAGGACGGAACTGGACAAGGTCGCTCTTCACCTAGAAGGTGCCCAAGATCCATCTCGAAAACAGAAGCAATCCTCCATTTCTCGCCAGGATGAAATTTGCGGATTTTTTCTGATGTTACTGTCAGATAATTGAGATAAGGCCCCCGCGCCTTGCATCTGCATAAAGAAAGGTAATAGGCTTTCTGTTATGCTTGTGCTCTTATTGTTAGTCCTCTGAAGGAAGTGAGATAGATCTAAAAAAGAATAGACGCTTGAGATATAAGGCTTACGAGCGAAGTTTCAGAAACGGAGGAATAACTACTGAATATTTTACGATGACGGCTCTCCAAGACACGTTGTCCTGACGATGTAACATTTTTGAGAAAAATGAAACACCCCATTCGCGGCAAAATAAAAAACTCATTTATTCGATTTTCCAGATTTTTTTACCGACTTCTCTATTAGTTCTTGACTGAAATTTAGGTTCAAGTGTCACTTGATTCCATCAAAAATAATCACGTCAAATCTCAGAAGGGTCTAAGCAAACTTCGATTAAAACTTTTTCACAAGAAAGCATTCTAATCTGATGCAAATGTTGGGATCTGTGCACGAGTGCAGAAGAAGACTTTTTCGAAGGGAAACACTCTGCTTTAAATTCAGGTAAGTTTTAAAAATTTACTTCTTGTTTGGATACTGCATTAGATCATTGCACTAGATTTCATACCTTTTAATTCCGATGAGAAATCTTTAGGCTCACTCTTTGATAAATGCATTGATGCGTTGCTGCTTTTCTCTTGCAGATTAGCAGTTGCCTTCTCAGCTACTTCCCGAACAATTCTAATAAAAGAAACTGTGATTTAAAAAATGTTTGCTTTTAAGTAATCAATCGTATTTTTGACGAAAATAGAAATAATTATTTATCAAATTACACTTTCAACAAAAAAATGTATTCAATAGTTATGATTTTATAGCATATTTCTGAATACCAGTTTGAATTTCGAACAAACACTGAATTATCTAGGTTAGCCCATACGTTTATTTATTAGTTTTCGTAATGTACAAGGGCAGGGTTGGGTTTTGAGGAAATCTGCAGCTCTAAGACGAATGTGTCTGTACTCGTTTTGCTTCATTTCATAAAAAATTTAGCTATGAGACTTGAAAACTGTTCATTAAATTATAAAGAAAAAATAAGTAATTGATGTGATTTTTATATAAAAATGTTAAACATGACTTAGTGAATTGCTAATGATACCTCTGTAGCAAGTAACAGATCAGCGGCAAATAAACATGATCGTTGCCTACCTCTAACTGCAGTGAAAGAAAGAAGGGGAAAGTTAAAGAATGAATAATTATTCAGCCAAAGATAAATGTAAAGGATAAATATTTGAGTGTACGTGATACACTGCAGGGATTTATATTTATTTTAGCTAATAATTTAAAGTTTTATTTGAAACTTTCCTATAAGCCTTCATTCCCCTAATTTTCAGCGCCAGAATAGTTAAATGTTGTAGCGCGTGAATATAGATAGACAAATATTCCACCTTAAGGTATTTCTCCCGCCCATTTAGTATTCCTTCGTGGTGTAGTGTTCAGCACGTTCGACGCGTATTCGAGAGGTCCGTGGTTCGAGCCCGGCGAGGGCATTGCTCATTTTCTGTCTCTCCTGTTCGAAATAGCCTAATGTCTCTACAGTGACGCCCGAAGTAAAAAAGGTGGTGGATGATGATTCTCCACCAGCAGGATTTAGGGATTGGATCCCCTAATCCCTAGTTGCCCTTTAAAAGGGGTATATAAGGTATTTCCTCCTCCTTCTTAACATGCATTCGTGGTGAAGTGGTCCGCACGCTCGGCGCGTATTCGAAAGATTCGTGGTTCGAGTCCGGCTCATTTGTTATCTCTTCTGCTTCCAGAATAACCTAATGTCTCCACAAACTGTCATAATGGAATTTTTTTTACTTCATTCTCGCTTAAGCTCGTTTCAGAAGAGCTCTTAAATATATATTTTTGAAGCCTGAAACAACAAAGTAAGTTTGTATGTATCGCTTTAGTTAACGTTATTTTAATATATTAAGATATGACACAAATTTTTCATGTTCATTTTTATTTTACTTTCTACGGATTCAATTAAAACGCAAAAAAGCTATGTTTAACCAAAAGTATAGTAAACTGAATTTAGAATTTTCTAGTTTTGGCAGGAGGAATGCTATGAACAGAAAATATTGCCTCAATTATGGATTTTCTTGGCGTAATTATAATTGAATGCTATACAAAATTTCTGCTGCACTGAATATGAAGTATAAATTCATATATCTAACTTTCTTGTGTTTTTATTGTTATAATTCGAAAGGCAGAAAATATGTGATCTCGTGGTAAACTTATTAGAATATAAAAAAAAAAAAAAAAAAAAAAATATGAAAAAATACGAAGACTAACCGAAAGTATCTTAAGTGGACAATCTGATGCTGTCCCTTCCTTAAATGAGTGGATCTAGATTCAAGACACGGAGAAACGTTAAACATTTCTCTTGGAAGTAAATGATACATTTTCTTTTTTTTTATTATGCCGACTTATGACGGCCTGTTACCACCATATGTTTATGAATAAAAGTAGGTATTTTGTGTCAATTTAACTTTTGCATTAAATATTACATTAGACTTAACAAGAGTTTAAGACACAATAACACGCCGAATAAATACTAATTCAGAAGTCAAACAACAAAAATCAGCGTTAATTTACAAAATTTTCACAGAACTAGTTTCGATGGTTTTACCGAACCATCATCTTCAGCTGCAAAACCGCAAATGAATGAATCCTATAAATACCCCAGGAATTCATATCCGGAATGGGGTCCTTGAGTATAGAAGTTGGAATTTTATTGATGGGAGAGTAAACAACCCGAAAGTTAAATTTCTGCAAACCGCATTTGCGGTTTTGCAGCTGAAGATGATGGTTCGGCAAAACCATCGAAACTAGTCTTGTGAAAATTTTGTAAATTAACGCTGATTTTTGTTGTTTGACTTCTGAATTAACAAGAGCTATTAAAATTACTCACTGGAGTTGGGTTTCACCAGCAGTACATCTTGGCTGACGCCCCCGTGAGCCAAAGTACACTTTAAAAACAGGTTCATTAATACTTGTAGCTTGTTGTGCTACATGAACACGTGGCGTGTTGCATAGAAAGCTTTTATTCCACTTCCAGTTAGTCCGTTCGTCTTTTTCATCCCATTCTGTCAAAGATACTTGAACCGAACCATTGACAACCTTTCTGACTTCCATCAATCCTTGAGGAATTTTATCATCGCTTCGGTGAAGAGTGGAAACTTTAGGACAGCCTGTCCAGAAACTTGAATCCTGTTCCCCAGTTGCTTCTTTCGAAGACTCTGGATGCTTGAACAGCTGAGACGTCGGCACTCCTCTCACAATGTCTGAGATAAGGAAATGGCTTTCAAGAGAGCAGGATCTATAGACATCGTTAAGTGTTTCATGTGTTTCTTCCTCTTTAGGTGATTCCAATATATTTTCTTCCTTGGTGACTCTCCATTTCTAGAAAGGTAAAGGTAAGGTAAAGGTAAAGGTATGGGGGACACCAGCGATGTACCATAGGTCAACTGGTAATGCCTTCCCATACTAACTCTAAAAAAAAGGGAGGGAATTGCAAGTTTTATAAGAATTTACATAGACTGAAGCTTTCCAAAATGTCTAGAGTTTTCCTATTATGGTACATTGTGCAATCCCACAGTACGCCCTGCATGCAGTATTTAATTAAAATAATGATGTAGGACATAAGTAGATTACAAAATAGTCGGAATAAAATTTGAGATTCACAAGATAAATTGAACATCTGATTTGGTGCAACAAAAATAGGAAATAAACATAATTAATAAGCAGATAAACATAATGAGATAATTATAATTAGTACTGGCAACACAATGTTAAAATGAATTGTAATAATAATGCTAAAGACGTAGGTGTCCATGGGTTATTTCAGATATATTGGTTTATTGCAGTTTATAAAGTTCACGAGGGGAGCCATTTTATCCATAATCACAGCATGTAAAAGTTTACTAAGCAGTATGTGGACTTACACTTGACAGAGATCTAGGCCGTAGGAAGAGAGTCGTTGCATAATTTTATGAAACTTTGGATACTGAATCTTTAATTAAAAACCTTTGGAATGCCAGGAGATCAGTTCTTGGGGATTTTATGTGACTACCCTCAGTTAAGGGGCATGAGAAAGTGTAATGATCAGGAGTTCCCTGTTCCCCACATATACAGATATCAGAATTTGCCAAATTTCTTGCGTAGAAATATGTGGGGAAGGGTCCATGTCCTGCTATAAAGTAATTTAGTGAAGGATTCGAATACAGAGATGCGAAGCTTACATTGGGGATCAATTCATATGTGCGTCTTCCACAAATCTTGCCAAGATTTTGAAGCAAGTTGTTTTACTTGGTACTTGAAATTTGAGCGAGGCCACGGAATAATGATTTCAGTACCATCTTGATTAATATCTGTATCTTTGGCTAGTTTATGTGCCTAATCATTACCAAAATGGCCACTATGTCCTTTGATCCATGAAATTTGAATTTTGTAGTTTGGAATTTTGTCAAGAAGAGAATTTATGTCAGATATCAATGGAAAGGAAAGTAAGGGATTCTTAATAGCTAGAATAGCTGCTTGGAAGTCAGATTTTATGCTAAATTCGTTGAGATTTTTGAGAATGGCTATTTCAATTGCTGCTTTTATAGCTGACAATTCCGCTTGGAAAACAATATTATTATTATGGAGATGGCCTTTTCATTTAATGATATTTGAGGGGATAATTTGAAAAAAGACCGCGGAACCAACTTTTCCTTCAATTTTGGATCCATCAGTATAAGCAATTGGAGAGGAACTTGAATGTTCTTCAGAAGCGGGGAATATTATTTTGCTGAAGGGAAGCGCTGGATGGATAAGATTGGGGTTAATTTTCTTTTCATAGTTGGATGGCCAAAAGGTTTGGTTGCTGAATTCTGCTGCTTGGTTAAGTTGAAGGACTTTCATATAGGCGCTTTCCATTTCTGCACTGATTGATAATGGAAAAAAGAAAAACACTCACAATAATGAGTTTAAGAGATTGTTTCGTAGCCTAGTACAGATGGGATGAAATAAAATTAAGCTTTAAAGTTAGCCCTAGTCACAAGTATAGAGGGAAACCATTGGAAAAAACAGATCCAAGATGAAAATTGATATCAAATAACCAAATCAGTACAGAATGTATGACGGTCGCTGAAAGAGGTTTTCCTTTTAACTCCTACCTAATGCACACACTGGCCAATGAATTAGAAATCTTTGAGATTTTCATTTGAATGCTTACTAGGGATGAAGTAGGCAAATTTTTTATAACATGGGTTACACGTGGCTAGAATGTTAGTATAGGTAAAGTGAGAGAGTGCTTTTCACAATGAATGAAGTAAAATGGGAAAAACGACAGATCTTTTTCCATTTGAAAAAGGGCTTATTGTTGCTGCTCGTTTAGCAGGGACCTCGATTTCGAAGACAGCAAATCTCACTGGGTTCTCCAAAGCAGCCTTATCAAAGGTTTTCGAAATTTGGAATCAGAACCCACAATCCTTCTCTAAAAGACGTAACTGCGGTTTGAGCACAGTTTTCCAAAAGAGTGATCGGCGGCGTCTCCGACGAATTGTACGGCAGAACAGGGCCTCTACTGTGCTTCAGCTGTTCCAGATCGTCAACTAAGGCTTTTCCCAATAGATTTCAGTTCAAACATTCTCAGAGAATTGCAGAGGATAGACATGCACAGTCGGGTGTCTGTGAGAAGGCCACTCATTTCTGCCCAACATGTAAGAGTGAACTCCAGTGAGTAATATAAGAATTCGTTTGCAATGATGTCGGGAAAGAAGAAGTGGGGCATCTGAGGATTGGAAACGGATAATGGGGTTGGATAAATCACGCTACACCTTATTTTGAACTCATGGAAGACGTCGAATTTGGCGAGAACTCCCTGAAGCCATGAATCCATCTTGCCTTATTCGCATTGTGCAAGGGTTTGGTAGGAGTATCATGATATGGGACATGTTCTGCTGGCATGGATGTGATGTCCTGCTCTTCCTCGAAGGTAAACAAACAGCCATGAGATACCTGACAGATCAAGTGCACCCTGCAATTTGAGGTTTTGCTTTGATGGCGATGGATACTTCATGGACGATAATGCAGCTATACATCGTGTAACAAGTGTTCAAAATTGGTTCGCTGAACATCAGTTTGACTTCCAACACCATTCCTAGCCACCGCATAGCCCGGATTTTAACCTCATAGAAAATGTGTGGGATATTGTGGAAAGACGCATCCTGCAGTACTCTCTTCTTCCATCTAATTTTCAAGATATAAAAACTGCATAGTATTCTCTGGATGTAAATGCACTCCAGAAGCTTGTAGACTCGATGCCCAAACGAGCCAGAGCAGTTATCCGGGAAAAAGGTGGTCCAAAAAAATATTGATCTTGGGTTTCTAATTCATTGGCCAGTGTGTATATTATCATAATGTCAAGGTAAACAGACAGTAGCTTATTGAACCGATAATTAATATTTTACAGCTATTGTGAATCTTGTGCTAATGTGTAGGCTTTTCTGTGCGGGTTTAGTTTCGTAATTTTTCAAGTTTTCGTTTTATTTTACTTTTACTATGATAATAATAATTTAATACTACTTTAATGCTAACACATAATTATTTAAATGTTTTAACTAACTGAATTAATTTCAACCCTTTTCTGAATGGAATCGCTATTATTATGCATCAGAAACTTTGTTTAAGAAAAGAAAGATATTCTATCGAGACAACATAAATTTTTCTTCTTATTCATTAATTTTAGATTTTTAATATTCTATAAAGATAATAAACTTATAAAGCTTCTTAAATTTCTATGGTAAATATATAATATTTAGAGTCGTTAGGTATTCTTTTTCTTAACAGGATGTATTAAAAGTCCGAAATGTTGTTCGTCTATATTCGAGCACAAGACCCCTCGACTGCTGGTTTGGAGTTTAATAAAACAAAGAGAAGTTTTCTTTGTTTCATTCCGTTTAATTTGTGTTAGAAATTTAAATTAATTAATATTTCATCTTAAATCACACGTTTCCCCTCTGTTTCCTACTGAAAATTATGTAGCAGTACATTTACAATAAGTTTAGGCTGAATTAGCCAAGAAGATGATATCAAAACAGATTTAATTTACTCTAGATTTAAAAGCATGTCTCTTACTACTGAAAATCATTGATAAGATTTTAAACACCGATTTTAGCTAACAAAAAGATCTGCGCACACAGCTATAATCAGAATAAATTCGAACCACGGACCTCTCGAATAAACGCCGAGCGTGGTGACCAATACACTACGAAGGCATGCTAAAAAGGCGGGAGAAATACCTTATATTCCGCCCTTTAAAACAGCGAATGGGGATTATGGAACCCAGTCTCCAAATCCTGGTGGTGGAGAATCATCATCCACTAATTTTTTTTTTAGTTCAGGTGCCACTGTAGAGGCATTAGGCATTTTGGAAGCAGAAGAAGTAAAAAATGAGCAATGCCCTCGCGGGGACACGAACCACGGACCTCTCGACTACACGCCGAGCGTGCAGACCTCTACACCACGAAGGCATGCTAAGAAAACGGGAGAAATACCTTATAAACTTAAGGAGTTTTTACATAACGATAATTAGAAAATTGAATATTTAGTAACTTTTATGCAGAGAAAATTATAAACGTAGATTTTCGAATAATGATTTCGCTAAATAAACTATTTTCTGAACTTTTATAGGATTTCGTTAATTTTTGAAAGCATTGATATGAATTTCAAAAAATATATATATATATATGATGTTGCCATCACGCTGACAATTTTTTGTGTTAGGGCCGTAACTACCATCGAGGAAGTGTCCCGGGACTCCGAGCTTAGAGGACTGACGAGTGAGGAGAAAAAATTAAATCGATTATTTTGTATTGCTATTTTAATATTAAAAATTAAAATTTGATAATAATATTCACATTATTACTTTTAAAAGCGAAATATTATTTATCGATTTCTAAATCGGATAAAAATTATAAATGCGATGCATCAATGAGGCCAGTTTTAGGGTTCCTAGCGTTTTCGTCAAGTTGAAATTTAACGTTCTTTTAAAGTATAATTTAAAAAATTTTCACAAGAACAGAAACTAAAAATATAGAAATTAATTTATTGTCTTAGTTGTTTTTAACATGCAATGAACAATTTTGTTTTTCTCAAGCACTATTCCCACAGTTTAAAAAAATTACCCTACCTAAAACATTTTTTTTAGTCTTTAGCTGAACAGACCTTTTTATGACATTTTCTGCATTTTTTTAAATATAATTTCTATAGACAAAATTGCCACTGAATTCAATCTGTCTTCAGACATGGATAACCTTAAGCATGTTTATAAGCTTCAGGTTTCTAAACCTTTTCTCTCCGGCGGCAACAGTAATAAGTATTATAAGCATTACTTTTTAATGCAACCCACACATTTGGCATGTCTTCTTGTAACTTATTAGTGTTTATGAACCTAGTAGTATCTATTGGAAGCTTTATATTTTCCGGAAATAATTCTTTTACTACATCTAATTCAGTCCAAGAGATCAGATACAATAATATTGCTATTTTCTTGGTACTTAAATTTACTCCCTCGACCTTGACATGCCACCTTGAGTTTACGTTAATCGGGCAAATCTTTAAAGTATTTAAAAATCCCCATATGTATTTAAATTTTGTAACTATCCAAATCCCTCTGATAGAAGATAAATAACTTTGTCTGTCCAGTATTGCATTGGACACAAGATTCTCTCGTGAGGTTTGGTGGAAGGGGAAAGAGATGGGAGAGCCTTGGAACAGTCCCCTCGAGTGCTCTTCATCAAATTTGGGGGCTAAAATGCAATGTCACCTTTAAAGTGCTCATGGCTGTTGCCAACGACAGGAGTATCTTGCGCTGCCCTTGCCACGAGGAATTTCATGGGCTTGGGCTGATGTTGCTGTTAGACAAGTGAGCATAAGTAACAACAACACTTATGAAATAAGACCAAAATATTGGTAATTTTTGGTTCTAATTTGTCAAGTTAAATCATGTACCACTTACTTCTGTATCGATGTCCTTTCTGTTAGGTAGCTTGCTATTTCTTTTTTCTTTCTTCTGGATAATCTGCGATGCGAGATTCAAAGTATCTGAGACGAATTTTTCCACCATCTTTTCGGAAACTGGAGAGTCATCAAGAAGAGGTATAGGCTTTGGCCTTTCTTTTTCCTTGGCATTTTCACCCTTTTCTGGGAAAGCTGTTCCAACAGAACAATACTTCTCCTGGTATTTTTCATCCATATTTCCACAAGATTCTCGAAAGCATCTGATGAGAAGATTGACGATTGCTGTAGATTCACGTTCTTCAGGATTTCCTGTGAAAAGCGTTACAGTATAATAAGATGTCATTACGGAAACATGATCATAGCTAAAAGTGATCTGATCTCTTTTCCTAGATATAATTCAAAGTGATTATTGGATTAGTTTTAAGATATAATTCAAAATTTGTTTTGCTTATATAAGGAGTTAAAATGAGAAAAGAATTTATGCAGGATATGCACTTTTGTTTTCATAATTTCCCATGTTTCCTAGAAAAAGAAGAGTAACATGTTGTAATATGTCTCATCAGATTTGCACAATAATAATAAAACCAGAATTGTGTCAACGCTACTCGTTTAAGATAAAAGAATAGCGCAAAATTATGGTCCATATTAAGTATATTAAAGGGAGATGTTTCTGCCAGTTTCTTACCTTCCTAGAAATTCAAGATTCTTATGCCTAGAACAGGTTACGAGCAATAAGTGTCTTTAGAAACCAATGGATAGCAAATTAAAGATGAGTTTTTAATTTTTATCCTTTTTTATCAACTATATTGGAATAGTTTGGATTTAAAAAACATTGAATAATTAATTCTTTCGCAACTATTGGTGTTCATTTGTATAATTATGACCTAAAAACACGTGACACCTTGTTTTTGTAGAAAAACAAAAACTGTAACCCAAACTATTTTTAGATCTTGATTCAATTAGCACTATTTAAGAATACGATTCTTACAAAACCAACTGATAAGTACATGCAAAGTGCTTGCATCTGTTTGTAAAAAGAAATTATAGTAATGATATATATAAATATTAAAGTTTATTTAACTGTGTTTGGGTATATAAGACGCTACCTATGTAAAATTGTTTGCAATTATGAATAATGAATTTGAACCAACAAAATGAAAACTCCTCTCTTCTATTTCTTGGTAACTTTTGTTGAAGAACTAATTGCTATTACCTTACTGTTACCACCGAAAATAGGTCATGCATCCATGAAAATAAAATTTCCTGTTGAATAATCATCCATGCAAAAATATTAATGATGGACAGGAAAAAAAAAACTGTAAAAAATGAACAAAAATACTTTGTTAAAACAATGTGAATTCCCATCATCGGGTGACGTAAATGAAGTCTGCTCTTCCTGTTCGGTTCCCATGCCCTTTCGATGTTTGCGTGATTTTATTATCACATGTCATAATCACGTTTTAAAATAAATGATGATTTTAACAAAATCAGTTGGGAGACCGTTATCTCTTCAATTGCAATGACACACTTCATCAACATCTACGTACCGCTGCAGATCAGTGCTGGCCAGAATGGGCCGACAGCATACCAAAAATAAAGGCGGTACAAAGAAAAGTAAAAAAGTAATATGTTAACTGTGCAGGAATAAAATGCACAGTAGCGTATGGATACATATGTTTCAAACACATTTTCCGCATAACTTATGTATTGTATTTATGAATTTAATTTACTGATTGTGTATAGACATTGGAGCGAAGTTCAAGCATAATATGCTGGAGATATATTACTTAAATCTTATTATACTCTTTGCCTGTGTTGCGCCTGCGCGCGCATTTCATTAAGCGTCGGCGCATGCGTCTTGAGCTCTTGGAGTTTGTGATATGAGATTGTGAGCTAAGAGCGTGTGAGAGAATTCGTGGCTTCGAGTGGCCATGAACGATGTAAATTAATGAGAATTAAAGTGAGATATAATACAGTCCATTGTTCCTGAGTTTATTGAATTATAGTGTAGTGCCTGTGCAACATCGTGGTCCGTCATGGGCCAGAGATCTATGGATTAAGGTTATTTACAAGTAACAAGTAAGTCAGCAGTTTCGATTTAGAAAAAGTGCCATTTGTTATTTTGAGATACTGTGTAAGAGTTTTGAAAATTTATAGTATTATATACTGTGTTACTGTGTTTAGTAATTGAGAAGAATTACTTATTATCTTGTGTTTATTCATTAAGAGTACAATGTTGATAAAAGGTGCACTTAAAGAGGATTTAAAGCTATTGGCTTTAGAACTGATATAGAATTAAGTGAAAAGATAACTGTTACAGATTTAAATTTAGCGATTAAAAGTAGTGAAGCTTTTAAATCCGATCCAAATTCGGTAATAGAGTTGGGAAATTCCATAGTAGAGCATCGTAAATCTGAAGAAGTTAAAGTATTACAGTTAGAAGAACAAGTTAAATTGGAAGAGATCTAAAAGAAGAACTGGAAATTGCTCGACTGCGAGCTGAAACCAAAAGCGTTTAATAACGATCAAAACGAAACTAAAGGACAAAGTTCCAACTCCTTAGATCACCTTATTAAAAGTATAAGAACACTAACATTGAAGGTTCCGAGTAAACCTGAAAACTGGAGTTATTTTTTTCTCGTCTTTAGAAAGAGCTTCGCGACAAAAAATGTGCCTGAGAAATCTAAAGCGGAAATATTGTTAAACTTGTTAGGGGAACGGGCTTCGAACATATCGTGTATATTAGAGATGAGGAGCTAAGTGACTATGAAAAGTAAAAGCTATTATTCTAAAAGAATTCGAACCTACACCACAAATTGTTTTTGGAAAATTTTAAAAAGGCTCACGCCTAAATGAGTCCCCATGTGCAGTTCGTTCGCGATTAACCACAAATTCGAATATTACTTAAAATTGAGGAAAGTGTCTGATTTTGAAACTCTGAAGCAGTTAGTAATATAGACAAATTGTTTTGAGACATTAGATCGAAAACGTCAGCCCATATTCTGTAAGGCAAGCTGAAAGTTGGTTTCCGCCTCAACTAATGGCTACGGAAGTAGATTTATTTTTCACATCTCGCGGAAAGTCCCTTGCCGCAAGTGTGCACAGTTTTCAAAAATCTCGCAACATTACAAAACGTCGAAAAATGTTTCAAAGGTATTCCTTGCCGATGCAAAAGGTTTAAAGTGGGTTCTTTGTGAGGAAAATCATTTTTTGGCAAAATGCCCAATTTCTTGAAAAACCGGTGAATGATCAGGTTGAAATCATCAAAAGTCATAAATTATGCGTTAATTGCCTAGCATTAAACCATTCCGTCAAAAAATGCAGATCAAGTTTTCGTGTTCCGTTTGTGGGAAAAGACACCACGTGACATTGCATTTCCAGTAGAAAATAAATCATCGAAGAGAAGAAAAAAATAAAAACGAAACAGCGAGTAGTTCCAGTGTGCTTTCCCCCCTAGCGCGACTTTCTGCCTTACAGCGGTAATACTCTACTTACAGCGACTAGTGTAAACCGATGCAAAAAAAAGTGTTCTTTTGGCACGGCTATTTGCTTTATTAGTGATAGTGTGAATAAGCTACATCCAGTCAAAACATTACTTGATGCGGCAGTACTTCATCCGTTTATAAGCAGAGACTGTGGAATAAATTCAACTTTGATTATGAGAAGGTAAACATTGCGATTTCCGGATAATGATTCCTTGTTTACAATTCGGAAAAGAGTTTCGGCATGCATTAGCAATAAGATAAAAGTTACATGAGACATTTAGACTTTAGTAGTACCAAAATCACGCAAGATTTGATTCCTTCAAGGAAAATTGATATTAAAAGCAGATTTTGTAACATAAATTAGCTGATGAGAATTTTAATGTCCAGAACGTAGAGATGCTTTAGGAGCTGAGGTTTTCTTTGAGATTTAAAATCTGAACAAATTCGCTATGAAACACGGGTCTTATTTTACAAAACAGCGTTTCGGGTTTATAGTGTCGGGAAGCGTTACATCAGAACAGAGCCGCGTACATTGTGGGTTAATGAAATCATCTAATGACTTAGAACAAAGAATGAGAAAATTTTGGAAATAGAATGTTGAACAGCCATTCCAAAAAATAAAGGAACAGCAATATGTGAAGAACATTATGTGCAAACTCTAAGCGGAATGAAGAAGGGAGATACATTGTAACATGCCATTAAGGAAGATCCTATTTGCTTAGGAAATTCAAAAGATGTGCCCTTGAGAATTAAATTCCTATGGAAAAGATTAGTTAAAGACCCTGAATATTTGAGTCTGTATCAGGATTTTTAAAGGAATATGAAGAGCTAGGGCATATGACTGAGGTTGAAGAGAAAAATGAGCCTAGGGTAGTGTACTATATGCACATCATGGGCTATACCGACCTCAAAAAAACAAAAACTAAATTGAGACAGTGTTTAAGCATCATGTTTAACATCAAATGGAATTTCGCTAAATTCTTTACAACGAATGGAGGGGTTATTCAAGATGATCTTTTCAATCATGCTTAGATTTAGAAAGTACCTATTCGCATTTACGGCGGATATTAGAAGATGTATATAGAATGATTAAAATTAACCCTGAACAGAGATGCTTGCAGCGAATCCTGTGGAAAAAAGAAAATGATGCACCTGTGAAAATCTACGAGCTTAATACTGTGACTTACGGTACAGTTAGTGCGCCATACTTAGCTATGAGAACTCTTAAACAAATGTCGATTGATGAAGGTCCAAAATTTCCATTAGCGGCGCCAGTCTTACTTAAAAATTTTATATGGATGATGTGCTTAGTGGAGCGGAATCTTGAGTACAGCTCAGGAGCTTAAATCTCAGTTAACTGCAATACTGAAGAGTGCAGGAATGACACTGCACAAGTGGTGCAGTAATCATGCTGAACTTGCGGAAGAAGATCACTCCTATTCCTTTCCTAATGAAGCAGAATCTACAACACTTGGAGTGTCTTGGAGGTCTAGAAGAGACTGTTTCTGTTTTAGAGTGAAACTCGATATGAATAGTTGTTACCAAACGACAAATATTGTCCACAATTGCAAGATTGTTTGACCCGATTGGTTTACTAGGGCCAATCATAAGTAAGCCAAAATATCCTCCAACGGTTGTGGTTGTTAAAACTGAATTGGGATGAAGCACTACCAAATAAAAAGGAAGCTGATGAATGGAAGAAATTCTCTTACTGAATTGGGAGTTATAAGTAAGATAGAAGTTGAGAGGTTTAAATTCTTATTGCAGAAGTAGACCATGTGGAACTTCATGGATTTGCAGATGCCTTCTGAGGTAGCATACGAAGCAACCTATATATTGTAAGTCCCGTTCGGGAGATGGAGAAGTGAAGACAGCGCTAGTGACGAGTAAATCCAGAGTCTTGCCTATAAAACGAGTTACTGTTTCGAGACTGGAGCTTTGTGAGGCAGTCTTACTTGCAAGGTTATTAGTGAGAGTAATATCTGCATTAGAGATTCCTGTGAACATGGTGTATCTGTGGAGTGATTCCATGATCGTACTTTTGTGGATACAAAGGGAGCCTTAACAATTGAAGAGTTGCAAATCGAGTGGCAACAATTCAAGAGTTGACTAATGGTCATCAGTGGCGTCATGTGTCATCAAAGAAGAATATGAGTGATCTTATATCCCGAGTTTTGGACCCAAGTAAATTTCTACAAAATGATATGTGGTGGAAAGGGCCCTCTGTCCTGAGATACGACGACTACCCAAATAGAGAGATTCCGGTGGAAGTCCATGTGAAGGACTTTCCAGACGAACTTAAATCCTTAGTGACTCTAATATTTTTCGTATGTGAAAGCTAACCCTTTCATTGAGGATTTCTTAAATTTAAGTAACAAGTACACTAAAATTATTCGTTTTAAGTTTTATTTTTAGGTTTGTAAACAACTGCAAGGGAGAAGGAAAGGTTTCAGGTCCTCTTCAGAGCTCGAATTAAAATTAGCTGAACTTAAACTGATTAAGCTAATTCAAGATAGTGAATTAAAAAAGAAATCTCAAGCCTGAAAAGGAGGGTAAGGTACCTCCAGATAGCAAGGTAAGAAGTGTTTTTCCATTTTTAGATCAAATGGAATTTTAGAGTTGGAGGCCAGTTAGCTAATTGTAAGTTGAATTTTGATAGAAAATTTCCTATAATCTTACCAAGAATCATAAGTTGACTAATCTAATTATTGTGATGTTTCATAAGAATACATGCATATTGGGTCCACAAGGCTTACTGTCTATTGTTAGACAAGGGTTTTGGCCCTTAAACGGCGCGCAACTTGTAGAAAAATAGAAATGAGTGGTGTCGTATGTTTCAAAACAAAACCAGTGCCCTGTCAACAACTTATGGGTCAACTCCTCAAGAAAGAGTCAGCCCGAATTTTCCATTCAATTGTGTTGGAGTTGATTTTTTTGGTCCTTATTTTATAAAATACCCACATCAGAGAAAAGGTCGCCTTAACAAGTGTAGGGTGCATTTCGTTTGTTTTGTTACCAAAGCTTGTCATCTTGAGTTGGTAAGAGACCTGTCTAGTCAAGCATTTATTGCAACCTTAAAGCGTTTTTTCAGCAGGAGAGGCAAGTTGCTCGCATATTTTCAGATAACGCAACCAATTTGTTGGTAGTAACGCAGAATTAAAGAAATTGAATAGGCTAGTCAGCAACCAGATGATGAATTAGGTAATTATTTATCGAGTGAGAGTATTGATTGGTCGTTCATTCCCCCTAGAGCTCCCAATCATGGAGGTCTTGGGAGGCAGAGTCAAATCTGTAAGTTTCATTTGAACGCGTCGTAGTAGGCAATTTGAAACTAACCTATGAGGAGTTTCTTACAGTAAATTGCTCAAATTGAAGGCATTTGAATTCTAGGCCCTTGCAACCTTTATCGTCTGAACCAGAGGATTTTTGATATCTGACACCAGGCCACTTCCTGTAGGCAGACCTATCACGGCTTACAGAACCTAATATTTTAAAACGTTAACGATAATAGATTAAAGAGCTGGAAAAAATTGACTAAAATAGTGTAAACAATTTGGAAGTATTGGAGAAATAACTATTTGAGTGCAATGCAGGAAGAACTAATGGTCTTTGAAAAAGACAATGTCAAGGTTGGAACTATGGTAATTTTAAAAGACTGATAATTTTCCTGTATGTAACTAGCCTCTTGGCAGAATCGTAGAGATATTCTTAGGTAAAGACAATAAGGTTAGAGTAGTTTCAGTGAAAACGAAAGGAGGTATTTTTAAGCGATCAATTAATAAAATTTGTCTTTTACCTATGCCAAATTAAACAAAAAGTTTTGTAATTAATTATTGTATTTTCTATTATAGTCGTTTCATTTTGTTGATGTTATTATTTGATGTTTACAATTATTTACCTGTATTTCGTATTGTCACTCTGTGTAATTTATTGTAAGATCTAATTTTGAATGATTACATCATGTCAAGGCGGGCGGTATGTTGCGCTGCGCGCGCATTTCATTACTAGCGTCGGCGCATGCGTCTTGAGCTCTTGGAGTTTGTGACATGAGATTGTGAGCTAAGAGCGTGTGAGAGAATTCGTGGCTTCGAGTGGCCATGAACGATGTAAATTAATGAGAATTAAAGTGAGATATAATACAGTCCATTGTTCCTGAGTTTATTGAATTATAGTGTAGTGCCTGTGCAAAACAGCTGTATTTAATTCTCCTTCTCTTTTTTATTATATTATATTATTATTATTATTATTATTATATTATTATATTATTATATATTATTATATTATTATTTATTATTATTACTATTATATATATATATTATTATTATTTAATATTTTTTCTTTTTTAATATCATCATTATTACTATTTTAATATATGTTGGTGTCCTGATTATCATACATGGGAAGGAAGATATAAGGTATTTAAATTCTTGTCTTGAAAGAGTTCCCAAACTTTCGTTTTCTCAGGCTTATGTACTATCTGTATCTGCGTCAGAATCAGGCCTTGTTTGCCCATAATTGGACCCAATAAATTGTCGGCTGGGATGATAAATAAAATACTGAAAGCCTTTCCTCGAGATGGTCAAGACAGTGGTCACTTTTGCTGGTGTTTAGTCTCTGATGATACAGATAAACTCTTCTGTACCATCCTCTCTGCAACACGGACTAAATTTTACAATAGATATTTTGTAAGCTAATTACAGTTAGATCTTGCGTTTAACGTGAAACATTTTGCTTCATATTCGGTGAAGAAGGAGTTAAATTTTGAAAGATAAATGAATAACACGAATTTGTACTATTTTTGTGAAACCGAGCGGATTTTTGAATGTATCATGTATTAAGTAGTAGTTCTAAGTTCAGTTACTATATTAAATTTTCACTTTTAGGCACTGCATAACATTGAATATTAAAATTAAAATTGTAAAATTTGTTCATCTGTAAAACGACAAAATATTTACAACATTTGCAACTGAAAAATTTGATTTAATTGAAAAATTTGATACTCAACTGAAAAAGAGTACGACTCTTCCTTTCACATTTCTAGATTCTTTTATACCAAAAGGAATCATTTTTGAAGGCTTAAAAACTGCCGTAATCAAAGTTTGTACACTGTGGGGGGAAAAGAAAGACAGTTCTATATCTCCCATTCTAGTGCGAAGATTAATGAAATTCAAATTGCGCTTTGTTTCTAAAAAACTCTAATATTTTGTAGGTAGGCTTAGAAATACATCTACTTTAAGATGATGACAAAACGTTTATAGGTTATATTACAAATTTGTTTTAGAAATCTGCATAAAAATTATTTTAAGACATAAATTTTAGAAATAAATCATAAAATTGGGCGAATTTTATTTTATTTGGAATGAACCTAAATTTAGAAATATAAAAGGAAGAATCAAATACGTTTAATGTAAAAAGAGATAATAATAAATTTATACAAAACTCAATTAACACTGAGGAGCTAAAATTTTGAGAGCTAATGTTTTAAAAACTACTCGTGCGATTTTTACAAAACTTGGCAGTTTGGCATAATTTGACTCGCAGAATCGAAATACGGAAAAAACTTAACATATCATTTCAGAAAAAGTCTGATTTTGCGTCAAAATACCTATATTAGAACAGCGCTATATATAAATCTAATGCATATCCTAAGTCGCACTTTAGAGACTTGAAAAACGCAATTTGAATTTCGTCAATTGGCCCAGTAGAACGGAAGATATAGGACTGTCCCTTTTTTTTGGAAGTGTATATACTGCCATACTTTGGCGCTCCAGTCAATATAACTTCAACGGTACAGTTTTGTTTTCAGAGGTATTTCGAGAAACAATTATATGTACATAAATTATACTGTAATAAGTAAAACATAATATTAGATTAAAGCATTGTGAAATATACTTGATTTTCTTATCTTCGATTTCCCATACAACTAAAAACTATACAATTTATTTGGAAAATTAGAAATAATAAAAAATTGCAATTGCTACCCGAGATCTCTTCACATTGTTGGTGGTACTTGTCCAGCTCCTCTTCGACTAATCTAGAGAATTTTTGACTGTCAAATTTCACAAAGGGAGAAGATTCCATAAATTTCTCATCTGCTTTCGATTTTGCCATATTATTTCCTTCGTTTTGATAATTTTCTTTAGAAACAGTAGGTAAGACACAGAAGCCCCAAACTGGGCCTCGCGGATCATCGAAATGACGACTTTCTTGAAATACCATATCTTCGCTATGCTGCAGACTGGTTGGGAATCTTGTTGAATCCTTAAAAAAAAGTGAAAAATTATCTTAAAAGGATAATACACCATATTATTTAAATAATATTAAATAAAATTTCATTAAAAAAATTATAAGAGAAAATTTTAGAGCTCATAGAGCGAGTACATTAAGAAAAAGTGCGACTTTGCCTTTTGAATTTAGTATACAAAGTTGCAAAATTATTCGGAATTAAAAAATTTCGAAGCTAGCTAATATAATTGTTCCAGACCTTATATATTTTGTCGAAGGAAATGTTTTCTTTGAAGAAAGATTTACAATTGATCAAAATGCTAAACATTATCGAGCAGTAGTGCCCAAAAGTAAAAAAAAAATTCTAATGATTATCTAATTTATGAAAACACATGTGCACATTTTGGAGACTGGCAAGCTTCATTGCTGAAATAAAACGGTTTTTAGACTAAGGGAGAGAAAGTATTCTAATAAAGCTACCATATTTTAAATTGGTATAATATCATTAAAGTTTCCAGAAATTCTTATCAATTTATGGTTATTCTGAGTGGAACTGTCTAATTTCTGTTGCTTGCTGCAGGAAATTTGTAACTTCTCAACTTCGAAATAAACCTTTAATATGTAGAGATATCCGATGATTAGTAGAGAGAGTAGGAGCAGAACACATTTTGTGTAGTCAATATAGTAAACTATATATATATGCTGAGAAACGCACTCTATATATACGCAAAATTATTGAATGATAAACAGAAGCCTATATTTAACTATAGAAGACCTAATGAATAGATCTAAACAATGTATTATGCGACATTTTTACGTCCTGATTGTTAAATAAAAGGAGATAAAAAGAGCGGAGCGCAGAATAATAGATCATTGGAAACTTAAAATCATCTGCATTTCAAATTTTGCTCTTCTCTTGTAAATCCTTTCAGTTTACTTTTACCGCAAAAATTTATACAAGAACCAATGCCAAGTAAGCAGGATCGGAGAAAGTTAATATCAAACTTCTGAAATTTTAACCATCTGTAATTTTTATATTCTTTACCCTTCTTTCAAAATGAAATTCACTGTTATCTTGGGTGATCTAGTGTGTTTTTCAAGCATGATATGGTAAGTAGATCTACTTAAAGTTCGCACCTGGCGACTTCTCGCACAGGCGAAAAGATGAACGCGACAGGGAAAGGGTGTAAAGATCCTTAAAGAGAACTTAAATGACAACATTAAATTTAAAAGGTAACGATGTAGTGCTGCACTACACAAATTAATTAAATCTAATAGACTGATTCAGAAAAACCTGCACTGGAGAAATGCTAACTAGACGGCCAGAATGCGTAACCACTACTAAGATTAACGACTAGAGAACAAAATAGCAAACGTGCGCTTAACTAGCGAAAGCGCCGACCAGCAGCCGAACGGTAAAGTAGCTGAGCACTGATAGTTTGGTTCAAGATTTGAATTAATCGAACGGGCTGGCTGCATGAGCGTTTAAGTAGTTTTCCCCGTGTATAACGTGTATACAAGCCAGTTTCCCTTACAAAGTCCTCCACGAAGTCATCCCTCCCCTTAAGCAGATAGCCCTCGAGGCTTTGCCCTAATTAACCGGACCAGACCGTTAATGAAAGCACGCTCTGACTAATATTCTCGCTTCAACAGTTTAAGTACTCTTGTTCACCTACTTAATTTGCAGCCTGGCGAGGAAATTCGAGAAGAAATACGAGAACTTAGTAAAGGCTCAAAAACTAAAATATCGGTTAGAAAAACTACACAAATCCCTATAATCTAATGAAACGCCGCAAGATAAAATAACTAAAGATAACTTCTCAAACAAATGTAGTAAAATAGATTAAATTGGTACATCCTAGCGGCATCATTATTTTTCAGAAATATTTCCTATTTTATTATCCGTTTTGAATGGATTTTCCATGGAGAAAGCAATTCCTTTGGCCGCTAATAAGCTATTTTACCGACCTGTTACAGCTTTTCCCAATTCTGCATTTGTTATCTGCATTCTCAATGAAATTTTCTTTGATTATTGCTTATGAATAGCTGAGTGTTTTCCCTCTCATCATTTATAACAATTCTAAATTGCATAGTTTTATATATTTACATTATGAAATTGGAATTCTATATGCATTATAATATTAGAATTTACTCTATTTGGTTTCACATTTTTTTAACCGAAGCTTAAATAAGAAAGCCCTTTATCCAAATTCCTTAATCTCATATCAATTTCTTTCATTTTAATAGATTTGTGGGTGTTTTCTACTATTTGAAAAGCAATTATTTTAGATATAGGCTGCTTTTATCTGATCTTGCATACTTACCTTCCTGACGATAACGAGTTAGAATACATCGTTAATTATTCATAATCTCGTTGTACCTAAATTTATTTGTGCAGTATATTGGCTTAGGAAGCTAGATGCAGTGTGTTCTAAATGTTTTGAATTAAAAAATAGTAAAATTTCCTATAAAAGAATCCAGATTTTATAATCAGAACGCATTAAGTCACCTCCTTCCATATATCATTTTGCTATCACAAACTGCAATATTTCAGAATAAGAAGATTTCTCTTATCTATCCCCGTTAACTTAACTTGATACCACTTTAAGACACAATAACACGCCGAACAAATACTAATTCAGAAGTCAAACAACAAAAATCAGCGTTATATTTTCAAATGCGCTTTCGCAGCTGAGGATGGTGGTTCAGTAAAATCATCGAAACTAGTCCTGTGAAAATTTGAAAATATAACGCTGATTTTTGTTGTTTGACTTCTGAATTGATACCACTTATTTGCATCAATGCACTGCACTTAAATTCACAGTTTTTGCACATTCCGAGCCTTCTTAGGGCAATCGGCAGTTAAGTTGGTAAACCATCTGAACACTGCTAATTTATCATAGGCTTTGTTAGTGGCTATATGGGTTTTCATAATTTTTTCCAAGTAAAACATGAGCAAATTTCCAACATGTCTTCTACAAAGGCATTTCTCCTATGACAGTAACAGTAAAGCATATGAGAGCCCTCATATGCTTTACTGTTACTTACATATTATCGCAACCACTATAACAGATCGAAAATTTCAGAATTCGCCAAACTGTGATAAGCATATTCGCAAAGCCTACAGACCGTTTCTTCTACTGTTTGCTCCGATTGGTTAAAACAGGAAACATAGGGTTACAGAATCTTGTACTTGGCGACTTTTGCTTCATCGCCTATACTATTTCTATATCAGCCTCGTGTACCGAAAAGTGTGCGAAAGCCAGCGACGAAACCGTAGCCCAACGGTAAAAAGGATGGAAAAATTTCTCGGATTTCTCGATCGCCGGTTATCCCCTCGAGCTTTTGCGAATTTGCTCTGACGGATTTATTTTTATCCTCACTGATGATGACTTTATCATTATTGGTTTTTTCGCCCGGGTGCGGTGTAAAAATTAACACTTTCATTTCTCATTTTTGTTATGATAATTTTTCTTTTATTTATGGTTTGTACTCTTTGCAGCAGGGTACAGTAGCAAGATATGCACCAAGATCCCGAAAAGCGTTTCATAGAAAAGATCATAATGGATAAAATATAATTTCAGTTCTATTACTTTCATAATTTAGATTAAAAGAATATGTATCGATGCCCTTAAATGTTTAATGAATTGATTGATTGTAACCTTTTTTCTTGCAAAACAATATCGACTTTAACAGTTTAAATTCAAATACAAATAAACTATTAATAAGATCAGTAGGTTATTTAAAATATATTCCACACAATTCCCCTTAGCTTTCATTTATAAAATAAAAAATTATCGAATGAAATAAACGCTGTTTCTCCTCACTGTACTGAAAGCCTGCAAGGTTTGTTTGGCGATAACTCGCCATTTCAAATATGACCGACAAGCAGATGTTTCATCCAATGAGAGCAGAACGTAGTAGAAATGGTCTGTAGGCTTTGTGAATATGCCTGTGATAACCATGCGCATAAAAATGTCCAGGCAACAATGCGCATGGCACAGTTTTAACGATTAAAGTCGTTATTTTCGAACGCTTTGTTTTTGTTTTACCAACCATTTTTATAGATCAATCTTGATTATTTTTATCTTAAACTCAGTTCTAAAATATGAGCTTGTACGACTTGTCTACAATGGAAGAAACTGCGCTGACATTTCTACGGAATAGAATCGTTTGCGGCAAAATGGAATGGAAATTTTTATGGTGCTTTCTTCCTTGAGTTAGTAATGACCGTTTGGTGGTACCCTCTTTCTTTGAAATCTTAAATAGGTGATTAGTTTGCTTAATGGTTAATTCAGTTCTAAAAGTATTAGGAGTTTGGGAGGTAAGAAGGCTTGAAAGGTACGTTGTATTTTGTTCGGAACTATAAACAAAAGTCTCCAAATAGTCGGTTTGGCGAACCGATTGTTGGACTTGAATAGTCTGCGAGAATACATGTTTAATTCCTAATGTTTCTCCTTCCATATCGTACACGGTTAAAGACACTGGAGAAAAGCCATACAAACTTTAATCAAGTAACCCAAGTCTTGTGATGTTCACCATTTTGGTTCAATGGTTATATGTGAAAAAGGTGAAAGAACTCAGTTGTGATTACTTTTAAGACACCTGGACGTGAAATGTCTATACTAAGACAAAGTTTTATCAGCATTTGTACTGTTCGTTAAATTAATAAAACATTTCTGATATGGTATATTGCTTCGCACTTATAGAATTATCCTAACTTCGTAATTTTTTGTCGTCCACCTACTACCAAAGTTTTACACATACATGTTACAGAAAACTTAGGAAGCGAACAGACGAGTTAAACTAGAGTGCTTAGACAGAAATCTGAGATCTTCTACTTAAAAATTATTCTATTACTAAGTAATTCCTCATCAGCAGAAGTCATTGAACACAAGAAAACGCGAAGTGGCAATAATTATGCTTTGCGACGATGTTTTGTTTTGATTATGGTATGAGATGAGCGATACCTTCGTTTGTTAAATATCACTTTTATATTATCTTCATAGTTAAGCTCAGGTTCAGGTTCAAATACAGAACGACACCTAATGTTTACCATCGGGGATGTAGATATTGTCCGTTTTGCATTAACTGGCTGGAAAACCCTAATTTAATAGAAAATAGTAGTACAATAATGATACGATGAATGTCATCACAGTCGGTGCCTTATTCACTTTCACACTTTGCAAAACATATCCAGTTAAAATTGAACATTGTCGTGGATTACAATTGTTTATTCATAGATAGCCTTCTAACTTACAAGATAATATTTTACAAGGATATTCACTAGGATTTTATGGGGATTACAAGCCTATATTTTGTTAACAATAATAGTTTAAAAGGAAATTTAAACTAATTAAAGAAAAGCAAATTAAGCAAAAAAAAAAATTAAAAAATTAAAAAAAATGTGTAAACATAAAAGATTTAAAAGATTTAATTTTCGAACTAATCTACACTATCATTTAAATTCAGAAGCATAAGCAAATCAGTGCAAAACCAATCCATGAAATAAATTCACTAATTTAGCAAATTAAAATTATCCAAAAATTTTTTTTAAAAATTGCATAAGTGAATGACTGTTGAGCAGGCAGGAGACAGACTATAAGGAAGTTCTCCCAACCTACTCTCCACATTCAATTCGTCTTTCGTCATTCAGCAGGCAAGAAGTAAAGTCAAACAAGTAAAAGGGAGACGTCAAAAGATATCCATAAGTGTTCCTTCGACTTAGCATTAAGCATTAAGTTTAAAGGAAATCTATGAGTCTTGAGAAACAGCGTACGTCAAGTATTAAACTTTTTTTAAAAAAAATTAATTTTTATAAAAAATAATCTAGAAACTAATGTATTTAAAAGGATATTCACTAGGATTTTATGTGGGTCACAACCGTAGGTTTTGTGTAATTGAAGTCACAATATACTACATCTGATTTGCAATGTTACTCTATATTTGGCACTTCAGGTACTTATTTAAGCTAAAGTTGCATTCATTTGCACTTTTTTGCGGAAAATGATTACACTGATATGGCGTAACTTATTACACTTAATTTCATAGTTTACCATAAATTGCCACTACGATTCTCTTATGTACACCTTGCAGAAAAAGAAAAGAAAAAAAAGTGGGTCAGTTAACTATACCCTCCCGTTCTACTAGACCGACTGTCGAAATTTAACTTCCGTTTTTCATGTCTCGAAAGCGCGACTTAGGATATATATTAGATTTATATATAGCATTATTCTAACATGTGTATTTTGACCCAAAATTGGACTTTTTCTGAAATAACATACCAGTTTGTTTTTCATATTTCGATTCTACGATAATTTTTTAAAAACTACTCGTGCGAGTTTTACAAACTTGGCACTTTGGTATAATTTGAATAGTAGTATCGAAATGCGGTAAAAACGGACATGTTATTTCAGAAAACGTCCGATTTTGGATCAAAATACTTATGTTGGAACAATGCTATATGTAAATCTAATATATATCCAAAGTCATACTTTCGAGGCATGGAAAAGGCAAGTTAAATTTCAACGATCGATCCAGTAGGACGGAGAATCTAGAAGTGTTCCCTCTTTTTTTTTTACTGTGCAAGGTGTACAATAAATTTTGCGTTTATTTAATTTTTTTGTAGGATAATAAATGCTTTTATATTCCACAGTTATAGAATACTACATTAACTATATTAGTTATATCAATACGTTACTGTATTTTCACTACAATTTACATTTATTTGCATTTTCTTACAAGATAATGAAAGTACTGATGCTCTAAGTACAGTGTAATTAATCCTTCACCGTTGTTCCTTACATTTAGAGCTTTCTGTTGCCTCAATTTTACTTTGGAAAACGCTTGCCGCTTTTGAAAACCCCAATATTATGTCTTCAAGCAGATTCTTTAATAGCCTTTTAAATACATTTTGTCAAACCTCTGACAGTAATATTTGTTATAAGTAGATTTTTTGAAACTGAAAAAAAAATTTAAGGATTTAGAACTTTGAGACATTAGTATACTTTGATGTAATATTCTTATATATCAGTAGCTGTAAGCACATATAATTTTCCAAAGGATTTACATTCAGACTTACCTCCTTTTCTGTAACAGTCTCAGTTCTCGTGTCAGGGGAAATCGACTTCGATTGTAAATCTTCAGCTTGGTAATTTTTTTGCATTTTGTTGTTCTGATCATCTTCCATTTCCGAGGAAGACATTTCAACTGTATCATTGTCTTCCGATGACTTTGAGTGACATTTTTTTCCACGCAGATTTATAATTTTAGTGCCTGCATGCTCATCAGAATCTGAACGCCAGCTATAGACTATCTCCTCGGAAGGAAAGGTTCTGTCGATTGTCGAAATTTTTGAAATGTTTTTGCTGTCCGTAAAACCATTTTCGAAAGAAATGCGAGGACGAGAAGAACGCTTTTGTTTGTATCTGCTAGTTTCGCCTTGAGGAAAGAATGATTCTTCCACCAATGAATCCCGTGTAATTGGCCGACGATATGGTGAAGACCTTTGTGCATCATACTTTGAACCAGCATCCTATAATGAAATGCCTGGCAGTTAAAACGTGGTATTAAATTAAAAAAATAACAAATAAAATACATTGGTAATTTTCCCTCTAATTTAAACATATTACCACTAAATTTTGAATTTCAAAGAGGAAAGCATTTTTTTAGGTTTTCGAATTAGAAAACTTTGTGTTTTTCATATGAAATGCATAAAAATAAGGATATAATGTTATGATACAATTTCCAGCGGAAATAATGTGACACAAAAGGCTAAATTATGATAGTAAACGCTCGAGATTGAATTACAGTAGAACCTCGCTGTAACGAACTTCCCGGGACCATAAATTCGATAAACTATATCCAATCTGATGGGGAAAAATGGATCACTTTACGAAACAGTATAAAAATTGATAGATGAATCACACAGAAAGAGTGAATTAGCATTGTCATATATAATTAAAAGCAGATGTATTGCTTGATCTGGATAGAAAATAATGTTTTTTGCCTTATAACATTTTATTGAAAAAAAAGGGCAGTCTTATATGCGTGAGTGTAATATCCCAAAATATATACTAAGAAACGTCTTTTTTACTATCTAACTTTTATCTGCAAGAACATGTACATAGTCTAAAATTATCATACTTAGATGTTATACGTCTATTTCTATAATGTATTTTAATGCCAAGCTCAAGCTGAAGGAGCTATTCCTTTTTCCTACTCGTAAAACACCTTTAAAAATTCAGCTTTATTTCTATGTGATGCTCTTTTATCAAATTAATCTGACGATTTAAAGGATACAGAATTCCTCACTTTTATTCTGTCAAATTAAGTGTCGAGGAACCTAGTGAACTACTGAGCGAATAATAGCTTAAATCCAAAAACGGAAATGAAAACTCAAGAAGGATTAATTACCCTTTATTTTCTCAAAATAAGATCAAATGTAGGCCCTTTTCTTAGGGCGTACAGCAAAGCCTGCACTTGGGCTTAAACTCAAAAATCTAAGAACTAAGAACTAACTAAAGAGATTTAGCCGAAGCTAACACAATTCTAAACTAGTTGGGCTCGTAATATTAAATTTGTCAGAGAACTATCAAAAAGTACGTAATACGGCCAAGCGAAATAACAGCTTAAAGTGTCGTAGCCCAAAGGCAAACGCGCGCTACTCAGGAATCTTCACTGTCTTTGTCGCAGTTGAGCTTGACTTATAAAGTATTCTCCTTCTCATTTGCATTTAACGTGATTCTAAAAATTCATTCTGGTAGGGAGTTGTAAGTTGAAGCTAGGTACGATAAGAAAGAAACATTACCTTAACAAATAACTGTTATAAAATTAAAATATACCTTGCAAGGGAAAACCCAGAATTCAACTGCTATTTATTATAAGTATTTGTGGCGCACAAAATAACAAGTTCCCTGCTCAGAATTATTAATTTATACAAATATATTGAATATATTTAGCAAAATAACTTTCATTAATATATAAGAAAGATACTAAGTCATACCTGGAAGAAGGTCCTCTGGTCTTGCATAAGATGTGAATACCTGCATGTATCGCAACACTTTTTACAGTTCAATGATGTGCAGCTCTCAATCTTGCACACTTTTTGCAAAAACTGCTTTTCACTTTCAGGTGATGAAACAGAGGTGTCTATACTTCTAAAAGTGAGTTCTTGACTTCCTCTGCATTGCAAATAAAGGGATACGTGTTCAATCATAAATGCCAAAAGATCTAAAATGTCTACCATTTGAGCCTTGATGTCAATCTCAGTCAAAAGACGTTCAGGTGTTTGAGAAAACTTATCAGTATACCGTTTATCGTTTTCTGGAACTTTTTCACGATTCACAGCTTCTTCAAAGTTATGAATTTGTTCGAATTCTGTGTTGCTTAAGCGCTTTGTGAGGGAAGAAGAATTTGAAGGAGTACTAACATTGTCCCTTTGAGAAGATGTGTCTTTTACGTATTCTGTTGAAGGACATGGCAACGTTCGTCTGCACAAAGCTTCTGAAAATATACTCACTTGCTCTCCAGTTATTTGTAATATGTAGAAGGCAATTTGGTAGACATATTGTGAGTAATACAAATCAAAAAAGGGGGAGGATTGGAAGTTCTTACTGGCATCATTTCCACAGAATTTCGAAGCAATTTCTTGCAACATATCAGCAATGCGAAGAAGCAATTGCCTTACCATACTGAAAGCATCTCTTAAGGCAGCATGATCTGTTTTTGTATCCGGGGCATAGAGAGAATTTGAATGATAGTCTGGATGCAAAAAAGGTTCCTTTGAATGCAACTGTGATGATATTGGTGTATTTATTTCCTTAGGTGTTTGCTCTTCAATTTCTTCAACAAATCGCACAAATTCTTCGAGTTGGGTCTGTAAATTATAAAGAATGTTGCGTATTTCATCATGTATCACCTTTTGCATTTCCGGTGAAATGCGTTGGATATTAAATTCTGAATCATTTTCTGTATTAACATCATGATAGCAATTATTAGATTTAGCTTCTTTTTTCTTAAAATGAAGGCGATTCTTTTCGTCACTATGATTTGGCATGATCAAATCAAAATGAAAAATATTCCTATATCAATCAATAAACGATATCCATTTGGGTAACACTTCATAAAGTCATTAAACACACTTCTCATCGAATCAGTTGCTCTGATCCTAAACCGTTCTTAACCTAAACCAGTTCCAAACACAGTTCCTAGCCTAGACCAAGCGCTTTCAATTTGTAATGAATGCAGTTGACAATGGTGCTGAATATACGATTTAAACTGTGAACTGTTCTTCTTCTGCAAATTTAAAGAACTTTAGAAGAGTTTTATATAAATATAGGAAAACTTTAGACGAGTTTATATAAATATAGGAAAAACCTTAACTTACAGATTTAATAGGATTACTTCAAAAAATTTTTAAATTAAGCTAAAACTTTATGCAATGTATGCGATGAAATTTTCAATATAAATCCTGAAAATGTACGCTATGCTTGTTTTATAATCAACTGAAAAATTTCTGTCTAGTACTGCCACCACTAAAGTTGTAAATAATTTTCTCGTGTCATCTTCTTCTTTATGAAGCTAGTTCATACGTATATTTTAGACTTTGTAAAAGCCATTACATTCAAAGTGAAATATAATTCTAATCTGGTAATAATATAAAAAGTTGAAAATACAAATTCGGAGGATGAAATTTAATAGGAAGACATATCGATCTATCTTCCGTAATCAAAAAATAATTCTTTTAAATATATTAACATATTTATTAATAATCAAAGTGAAAACAGTTAAATTCGGAATGATTTTTGTGAAATGAAATGTGAGTTAAGCCTATATAATGTATATATCAAATCAGGATTTCAAACGTAAGAAGCACAAATACAAATTTAGATGAAATTAAAGTTTACTGAAATTTCATCGAATGAAGATAGAAAAATTTCATGAATACAAAAATATTGCGCAATAAAAGAGATGACCTTACAGAACTGCAATATATATTGCAAATTAAGTCAACTTAGCTTTTCTAATTTTTTGCGAACACTAAGAATTTACTCACATATTAGGTAAGCCACAGATATAGCAAAAATAGTACATCCCGCATTATGCAGTAAAACCTGATTCCACCCAGAAAGTTGACAACAGTCATGAAATTGTCAAAGCATACAATGGCAATTATCTGAATTATTACTTTTTATAATTAGAATATACATTGCTCTTTCAAGTATGAGCATAAATAACACTATGAAAGGTTTATTAAGGCGTATTTCCATATTTTATCGTTAAAATAAAAAAACTTTGAAAAGGTATACAATACTAATCATTTAAAAATCACTGAATAATGAACCTTAAAATGTTTCTAACATATGAGTCCTCGTATGTCTTAAAGTATACGTGTGTAACCCAGCTTTAAAATATCTTTCAGATATTTATGATACCTTTATTAGTACTTTCTGATTAATTTTACTTCTACGAAAAGTTTTCATCTCATTGACGACTTTATGAATTGGCAAGAAATGTTTGTTGTCTATCTTTATGTCTTCCAAGTTTTATTCTGTTTGTAAATGATAAATAATATGCATTTTAAAAGAGAAAGGAAATATTATGAGAAAAAAACGCTGATAGATATTGGATATTTTTACGGCCGGTGGATTTTGTATTATTTAGTTAAACATAAAGCATGCAGGTGCACAAGGACAAAAAGATATGTATGGTAGGCGCATGACGAGTTTGTTGTTGTCACGTGTATACCGTGGAGATAAGAAGAAAACTAACTACTTCTTCTCTATGGTGTGGTGGTGGTGGCGGTGGATTTTATTTCGTCAACGTTGGGAGATTATAAGCCCCAGACACATGTTCACTATACAGAATCACAATTAAATCCACACAAGACTTACATACAAACATAAATTTAAAACAACAGCAGACTTAGAAAGTCAAAAGAAGTTGTAAAATGATTAATGTTAAAATGAAGTTACTTATAATTTTGATAATGATATCAGATGTGAAGCAGGTGTAAAAGTATAAAACATAAGAAGCATTAAATATTTACCAACTGTTCTTAAGGTACTGAAATATATCAGCATTGGCTTTTTACCCGATTATACGGTCAAAAGACAAGTCAGAGTCAATGAAATACTTCAGTCGAAGTGTGTTAAGATACGGATATTCAATTAAAACATAACGTACTCTCAGAACACTATAGCAGTGAGATCAGGTTCTCTCTCAGCCTTCAAAAGATGATTGTGAGGGACTCGAAAGTGCCCTATACGAAGACGAGTTAATACCTCTACATCCTTTCAGTTTCTAGCTGATATTCAATATTCTGCTACAGAGCTTACATTTTTAACCTTGTTATTAACCTAAGAATCCCATATTAGCTGACATTTATGTAGGACTTTTTCTTGATGACCTTGTGGATATCCATAAGTGAAGCATGCTGAGTGCACAGAATACAGCAGATTTAGCTGTGATATCTGCAGATATTTATTATTTAAAATCCCAACATGACTGGGAACCCAGCAGTACAGAATTTGATATAGATGCATCTGTAAGTTTACATTTAACTTTAGAATTTGCACAACTACAGGACTGAAAGTGTTGGAAATTTTTTCTGAAGCTTTCAGTGCACTGTACGATTCTGTATGAACTGTGAAATTTCTTAAACATATCTTCGAAATGAATAAAGACCCATCTGTGTATATAAGAACATAGCTGCTTTTTTACGTCTCTGCTCAAAGAAAAGCTGTTTGCATACAATCTCCCCAGTTTTTCTCTTGTCGTGATGGTGGAAACATCCAGAATGTTGATTTGTGCGTATTCCTATGGCGGAATTTCAAAATGCTGTACTACATGGGTGGGTGCATCAGACATGGATTTCGCTTCAATCAAAAAGTGACCTCTTAATGAAAAAGAAGGCAGACAAAATGGTCGTGCTTGAAATAGAAGGTCACACATGTCATCAAGCAAGCATAACTTACTAGGATGATATATTAAAATTGATAACTAAGTATTAGGATGATATATTAAATTAATAGTAGGATGATATATTAAATTTATAAACTTGAAATAATATATTAAAATAATGCAGATGCGACAGTTGCTCACGTCTCTACTGGAGTGATGGTTCATAACAATCAACATAAAGGCACTGCACAGGAGATGACCTGAATGCTCCAGAACAAATTCGCAGTGCCTGATGGTAGACTGGATCTAGAAAACTGAACGCTGTGCAGATCTTTAAGTAATTGAGCCGTAGTCCAGTCTAGAACCGACAAGTGTTCTGTAAATACGAAGTAAATAGCAGTGCTCTGCGCCCCAAGACGTGTTTTCAAGACTTAATATTTTGGTAAACTTCTTCAGATGTAGGACATGAGGAAGAAAAGTCAGTTTCTGGTCGAATAATCACCTCGAAAACTTTACTTCAGATTCAACTGGAACCATTTATCCGCGAAGATGTAACTCAGATTCAGGATGAAGAGCTCGTTTTCTACAAAAATGCACACAGTTTTCTGTTTCGAAAACATAAATCCTTGTTTTTCTGACCATTCCTGGCTCCTTGTTCAGAGCAATCTGTAACTGCCTCTCTACATGTCTCATATCTGCCCCATGAAAGCTAATTTGCACCTCATCAACATATAAAGATGCTAAAACCTGGTATGAAGTTCCTTTAAGAGAGTTTATTTTTAAACTGAACAGAATAACGATAGCACACCACCTTGAGGCATACCCTCTTCTTGTACAAAGAGGTCTGATAAAATAAGAGCCAGCCCGGGCTTGAAATGTCCTTGCTCTCATAAACTTTTTAATGAAAATAGGTATGCTGCCCTGCAAGCCACTGGCATGAAGATTATGGAATATACCATATCTCCATGCCTTATCATAAGCTTTCTCTATGTCAAAAATGACAGGGATAAGATTATTCCTTCACACAAAGGATTTACCAATGGATGTTTCCAGAAGAAGCATGTTATCTATGGTCATTCTTACTTTACGAAAACCGCTCTGATAAGGTGATATGATATTATTATTTTCAAAGAAATAAATTAGGCAGATGTTTACCATTTTTTCAAACACCTTGCATATGCGACTCGTAAGTGTAATGGGTTAGTTAGCGAAGGATTCCTCGGGTCTTTCCCTGGCTTAGGTATAAGAATAACAATAGTTTTCTTTCATGAACTTGGGAAAATCTCCTTTCACACTCGATTATAAAGAGAGATAAGGGCAATCAATGATTTATAAAGCAGATACTTCGGCATTTCGTAACTTACACCATCTAGATCAGGGCTAGAACTGTGTGGCTGCAATAAAACTATTTTCAACACAAGCGCCGTAAAATACATGTCTATAAGGCTCAGAGCTGGAAGAGTTGAATTCAATAAGAAATTTTCTCGGAATACAGCTCAATACAAAGAAATGCTGGGGGATACTTCCTGCTAGAAGAAAGGGCAGCAAATTTCTCACTAATAATGTTCGCAATTTTTTCTGTGGGGCTAAATCACTGTACCATCTTTTTCCAGAAAGGAAAGTGAGTGGTCATGATACATTCCGCATCCTTTTCTAACCGTTTCTCATATTTGTTTAGTTAGCGTATAAGATAGTATACCAGAGATATAGGATATCTATGAAACCCTTTGGTTCTTACATTTTGCTTTCCTTGCATTTGCTTTGGCCCTTTTGGATGCTATAAAGTTTGAGACAGTTAAGTACTTACGGAAAGTTCCCCAAGCTTTCCTCTATTGTCTCAGAGTTTTCTGCCATTCACATTTCAATATTCCATTTCTGAATATTTTCGTAGGTTTCCTTATGTTGTCATATGTATACAGACTATAGCTCCTCGCATGATAATATCAGTAGCCGATTTCACTGCTCCATTAATAAGCACATCTTCAGTCATTTTATCTGTGAGCTCCGAAAAAATGCTTACCATACTGAGGGACACTTTGATCTGTTAGGTCGGCTAAGCACTCATCTTCAGATAGATAAGGTATTTTCTCTCTCCTTTCTGCATGCTGTCATGGTATAAATGTTAGCACATTCGGCGCCTATTCAAGAGGTACAGGTTTGAGTCCCAGCAAGGGAATCTCTCATTTTACAAATTTCCTACTTCAAAACTCCTAATGACTCTACAACAGAAGGTCGACTTCCGAGATTATGCTATAAAAATTTAAAGTTTTGTACGCAGACACAGTTACATCGATTTGCTTGAGTTTGGTTAATCGAAAAAGGGAAACAGACTGGGTTGCCGAAGTGATATCGATAGACAAGTTTCCAGAACGGAGATTCTTTTTATTTCTTGGCTCACCAATGCAAGAATGAATAAATTCATTCTTGCATTGGTGAGCCTTGCAAGCTAATTCTTGCATTGTTATTACGAACCGAGATACCTTTTGCATTTAGCCAGAAAACCTTGATACTATGAAGAAACGTGGACAGATATGAGGTTTTTTA